TCAACTCCATGAGGTCGTCAGCCTGGCTTTTCGATGATCCCACTGAATGGACCCCCTCCCTGGTCGCCGGTGTGCGGGCATTTTTTGATGCCGAATTGGCCCACTGATCGTCCTGTTGAAAGGGTTTGGGGGATCCAAAATCTTGCAGATGCCAAAATCCCCAAAATCCCAAAAGCAACAAATGTGATACCCTCTGGTAATTTAACGTAGCTATTGAAAATGGCCCATTAATAGTGGATTTTCCCATTAGAAATTGTGATTTTCCATATATATAGTTATGTTAGTTTACCAGAGGGTAATTGATATAATTGGGGAGTTGCACATCTAAAAAAAACGTTTTTGGATAAACAACAGACGATGATATTTGGGGATCCGTCATCGACAGAATACGACATTTTGCTGATAGGAACTGGCTGGTGTCAGACCTTGCAACTCCGCAACTTCAAAGAAGAAATGAACCGATCCATCTTCCGATCCAGGCTAGTGCCAGGGTATTTTTTTCTGTTATGGATGTTGTTTTCATAGGTATTATTTGTTTTTCTTTGGGTGAACCTCAATTTGTTGGTTAAACTCCGAAATATCACCTCACATGACACTGAAGTCTCCGGTTTTTTATGACAAGAGTTGGCCAAATCAACGTTTTAAGGGTTTGTTGCTTTTGTTTGAATAAACCTGCACTGGTTGGTGGTTGAGCCACCCCTCTGAAAAATGTGAGTTCGTCAGTTGGGATTATGACATTCCCAATCTGAATGGAAAGTCATCATCCATTCCATGGTTCCGTTTACCATCAACCAGGTGCATAAAAAAAACACGAACATTCACTAAACAAGTTATTCCCATAGGATCCATGGTGCTGGTATATATGCTAACATGACTGGGGTATATTGATGGGATCCATGTTACCATATATAGCAGCACCATGGATCCGTCATGGGATTGGTGGTGATCTCGCCATCCCAAGATATCCCCGGGGCGCCCCCGCCATCTGCTTCTTGAAACCATCCTTCAGCTTGCCGTCCTGGAAAGGCGGAAACGGCAAGCGGGGAGGAGAGATGTTTAGTGGTTGTACATATATTATAAATATATACATACATACATGTATATACCATTTGGTTATTTAACATAGCCATGGAAAGATCCACCATTTTTAAGTTCGGTAAACCATCGAACTTTCTATGGACCATGGCTTCCATGGCTATGTTAGTCATAACCAAAGGGTGTGTATATATATAATTATAATTAATTATATAGTACATGTATGAACTATCTATATTATTCTACATTTATCATCCTTTACATTGAATATGCAGTGTTCTGCAGTATATCTACATCCCAGAGGCTCCATGCAATATCTATCGATGTTGACATGGACCTCTCAAATGCCTATGTTCTGTAGTTAAACATCATCAAACCAGACTTCAGTAATAGTAATACCCTCTGGTTATTTAACATAGCCATGGGAAATGGCCCAAAGAAATAGATGGTTTACCGAACTTAAAAATGGTGGATCTTTCCATGGCTATGTTAGTCATAACCAGATGGTAATCATTCAAATACAACAATTTTACCCTCTGGTAAACTAACAGTTCGCAAAAATAAAACATTACCATAGAAATAGTGGATTTACCTGGATTTACCCATTGAAAATGCTTTTTACAAACCACATCTCAGAGATTTTCTCCCGAAAAAAATCGTTTTTTCACGGCCACCTATGCCACCTGCACCTCCCCCAGGGCGTCGCGATACTTTTTGCTCGGAACATCGGCGAGTCGAGTCACAGGGTCCTTCCACGCACGCGCGCGGACGTCGGTCCCATGCAGGTCACCGGAGGGTGAAGTGTCTCTGGAAATCGATGACGGCGACGTTCCAAACAAAAACTATCCACACATGATGCTGAGCATGTTTTTTGCCATGTGCTGATCTAAAGAAAATGATCTTGACGTAAAAACAAAAAACTAAAATATATGAGGATGAATATGATGAATATGAGGAAAATTCATTTAAAATCACACATCTGAAATATGAGGATGAATATGATGAATCATTCCATATCATATAATTCCCATGTCAATTTGTGAAGCGATTAAAAAGACACATATCACAAAACATTCACAAACACGGATGCAAAGTCTATATTATAGTATGTTATTGCGCAAATAACTCCGAGTTCATTATGGTTTATGGTATAATTATACAAGGTGGTGCCCCCCCCAAACGTTATAAATTGGTTTATAAAACCCATTAACTATAGATATATCACCAACAAACACCATAGTGAAATTGGAGTTATAAACGCACCAACTTAGGCTATCGACTGGGGGCACCATCTCGTTGGTCCAAAAATATCAACGCCGTGCCTCTCATCGAGGATACGGTTCATCTCAACACACGTTGAACATGTAGAAATACAGTGAAATAATTGAAATATAGCAGAATCTATCAGAAAATATAGTATAAATATTATGTAAATTGATATTAGTATTAAACAAAAACAGTAAAACATATAGTAAAATAGTAAAATAACTGAACATATGGTAGAAAAACTATGTGGTACCTCTGGGATTGCAAGCCAATCCAACAGATCAATACGATGGTGAACCACTTTCCAGGGACACACTCCGGGACGGAACGGCTATCGTAAAACGATGTCTGTCAATCAAAAAAACATGTCCAAGGGTACCCCTAAACCCAATGGTCAATGATCATTATCCCTATTAAATGGCTGTTTCATTAGGGGTATACCCTATATATTCAGACAAACCCAAGTTTGTCCAAGTAATTATAGTATGTCTTGCGCAAGAAATGGCATGGCTTCAACTTTGGCTTCAACTTTCAACGTCACGCAACTCTCACATCAGGGTCGCTGACTTTGATGATTTTTGAATATGAGGCTTTCCTGAGTCATAGGGTTGCCCCGAATCATCCATGTGATGTTTTTTTTTTTTGTTAAGTTAATTTAAGATGTGTTTTGGATAACTTGACATTTTTGTATCATAAATTCATAGTTCACCCCTATCTGCAAACCAACTCGCAGTTCCTTCAGGGGATCTTCTGCCCCATTTGGATCTTGGACAATACCATGGCATACCTTCGATTCAACCAACCAATGTTCTATGTAAAGTCAATCAATCCAAAAGAGGCCTCTAACCTCAAAGAGCTAGAAGCCGTGTACTGAAATTCAGCGTTCAATGACACCAACGAAATAACGGGAAAAATCACTTCAGTGTGCTGGAAACTAGCAAAACCACAATTTCCCAACTCCACACAACACTGACATCGTTCCAAGATAGCCCTGCGCGCGGTGCGCTTTTCTTCTTGAGAGTGCACTGTACGCGGATGTTCCATGAAGTTGGTTAATTGCCTGAAAACTGGTCCATGGCCCATTGGCAAACAACAAAAATCTGCTTGGGCTGTACTTCTACCCCAGTTCCTAACGTTACCAACTCAGGGAGCATCCTATGGACTGTAAGCTAGGGTGGTTTGGGTGCGTCAAAACATGGTTAGGATGCGTTGGTCGGAAACCCAGCTGTTCAACTGCAATCCGTTTGGAACATCATAAAATATGAGAGGACATGAGAGGACTGTCTGAAAGCGCGAAATTCCATGATGGTGTTTTCACCTTCTTCCAACTTGTTCTTCCCCTCTGGAAACACCCATCTTTTCCGCACCCCTTCCAACTGTTGTTCAGAAACGATCACAGCAACTGCGGAGTTTCGGCAGTATCTCTGCTGCATGAGGCATCAGTTTTCCCCTTCCAACAAAGGTCACCAAAACTCACTCTGCGCGAGCTTTCCAGCATTCCTGCGGAAGGGACAGGATTCGCAAAAAAAGGCTCCAGATGGCTCCAGCTTCCGCAAGATGACTAAGTGATGGAGTCTCATCCAAATGAAAAGCTGAGAATCTATGTGTATAGTGACAAATATGGGGTAACGTCATGTGAGGTAATGTAATGTATGTATGTATGCATGTATGTATGCGTGTATGCGTGTATGTCTGTCTGTATGTCTGTCTGTATGTTTGTACGTCTGTATGTTTGTACGTCTGTATGTCTGTATGTCTGCATGCATGCATGCATGTATCTATGTATAGCATATAGTTGTACATGTTAACTTGTTACACTCAAAAAAACGATGTATGTAATTATATGACTAAAACAAAATATCATGGGGTTTTCTTGGGGAATCTAGATAAGCCTGGATAAGCCTTGGATAAAGGTGAATTTCATTGAAATTCGGGGTGTTCACCAGATTGTCTGGGAGGTCCAAGAGCGATTTGACCTGAATTTTGGGGGGGTTGGGTGGCTAAGGGCCAAAAAAACATGCTTAACAATTAAACTCATTAATCCATTCCGCTTGATATCGAATACCCTGCCAAAAAAAACATGATTTTGCCCTTGGTCTATTCATTTTCATGGTTCATGATATAGGAGGTATTCCAAACTTTGGGGATGACACCGGATGGTCCCAAATATCATTTCTGGTTAAGGCTAAATACCCTTTTTTAATCACCATCAAGGCCGGCGAAATCATCATGTTTCCAGCAAAATACATCCAAATACCACATGTCTGCATCTTCCTCAGGCCACAAAAAATCTGCCCGAAGCATTTTTCCATATTTTTCCGGCCTGAATGGCCAAACTGGCCCAGTTTGATATCCGATTGGTTGTGATGTGATATCATACCAGCATGTGCAAAACAACAGGGGCGTAATGGTTTTTGTTTTTTTCCCAAACCCACAGAGCCCATGATGTTTCGTCCAAAAAAACCCCAAACATCATATGGGGATGGGTCAAAACCAATAGTACCCCTGTAGTTCACATCAAAATAGCTGGGTTAAAATGGATGTTCATCCCCCTAACAAATGGTATTTTCATAGGTATTGATCCATAGCCATATTGATCTTTTCGGTATTGTCATGCATCAAACTACCTCTCAATCAATGTGAACACCGGCCTTCGGACACAGGATCCACAGGATCTGGAATAGCCGAAGCAGTCCTGTTCACTCCACAATGCCAGCCAAGTTCTTGGCAAGCCTCAGAAAAACAAGCGTTCACTGTGACCCAATTCGTTTCCCAAAATAAAAGATGTAGCCTCCCTGGAAACAAATTGCGGAAACATGGTTGCCCCCCGGCTATATTGGTTGATGTTCCCCATCTATGAGTCATGACAATCAACGTTTCTTCCATGAAATCCGGTGGTTAAAGCCAAACATGTCTGATCATGCCAAAAAATGATGAGAATTGTTGGTTACATCTGTTGCCAAACATAAATCATTACAATGAGATCTCAAAAAAAAACGTCCCAAAATACCACCGTACCATGGTTTAAGTTATCGACCTGGCTATTCTTGATCTACTGTCAAATCCCTGAAATTCATGGGTTAATTCCTTACCCAAATGCTCTATGGTGCTGGAATATTTACCAACATTTGCCCAAACAAAATCACCAAGTTTTGTAGGTAAGAAATATACCAGCACCATGGTTCGCATCTGGGTTATGTGTCATAAGTCAATATCTGGTTGGTGGTATACTCACCCCTCTGAAAAATGATGGAGTTCGTCAGTTAGGACATTGTTCCCAATATATGGAAAATCAAATTCCATGGTTCCAAACCACCAACCAGTGATTACTAACCATCATTAGCCATCATTAACCACTATTATTGGTATATTGGAAAATAAAATTCATGTTCCGAACTACCAACCAGATATTATGGCCACATCATCGCCAAATCATCGCCACAAAGCCTTGTTCTTTCCTGCGAAATGCTCCGCTACGACCTGGTATCAACCATTAGTAACCAACGACTCGCTGAATTCAATCTTTAATTCCCATGAAACCCCTATTAAAACATCATTAAACCAACATCAAAGTGCATGCAATCCCTATTAAACCCCATAAAGCCCCCAGTGAGCCCAAAAAAATCACCATGACACCTCCTCTATTTTGCCAGTAAATCCTCATTCAATGCCCATTAAAAATATTAAAATCCCATGAATGGTCCCAAAATCAGCCATGAAAAACCAGGGCGCCGTTTCTTCATCTCCAGGTCAAAGAGTCGTTGGATCAAGACGCGTTGCGCTTGGGGTGACCCGGCACCGTGCAGACTCTCGCCTTGGATGAACCGTAGTTAAGATCAGTAGTTGTTGGTGATATCATGGGATTTCATAGCTGATTTCATGGACAATTATAGCTGATTTAATGGGATTTATAGCTGTTTTAATGTAGTTTATAGCTGATTTAATGGAATTTTATCGTGATTCAATGGGATATTAGTGGGATATTAATGGGATATAGCCTATCATGGAATTTTATAGTGATTCAACTAACATAGCGAACTAGAAAATCACCATTTTGAATAGGTACATCAACTATTTAATGGAACTTTCTGGTGATTCAATGGGATATGAATGGGATGTACCCTCCGGTAAACGTTTACAAAAAATGAAGGAAACATCCACCATTTTTAATGGGAAAATCCACTATTTCGACTGGGCCATGGCTTCCAGTTCGCGAACTGTAACAGTCATTACCAGAGGGTCATGGGAATTCAGGTTGATTTTGTGATGATCGTACTGTATAATGATGATTTTATGTTGCTTTTATGATGATTTTATGGGAATGAATTGTCCTTTCATGGTGATTAAATGGTGGGATTTAGTTGGCTAAGTTGGTGAATAGCTAGGGTGACTATGGTTGATGAAGATCATCCGCAAGGATATTCTGAAATATGCCACGGATCTATACTGGTTGGTGGTTTTTTGCCACCCCTCTGAAAAATGATGGAGTTCGTCAGTTGGGATGATGAAATTCCCAATATATGGAAAGTCATAATCCAGTCATGTTCCAGTCACCACCAACCAGTGATGATTAACCATCATTAACCACTATTATTGGTATAATCCCATTATAAAGATGATTATCCCATTATAATCCCATATATATTAACCATATAATATAATATAATCTCTACCAACCAGTATAGTTGATGGGCTATGTTTGAGTAGAGTCGCCGGGAAAATTGCGAATCGCATGGTGGGATTCCTGGTACGGAAAAAAGGTCGAAAAACAAAAAGCTGGGGTTTATGAATGGTTCTTCCCCAAAATTCATGGTAAATTCATAGCCCATGACGGATCCATGGTGCTGCTATATATGGTAACATGGATCCCATCAATATACCCCAGTCATGTTAGCATATATACCAGCACCATGGATCCTATGGGTAGGTAATTTGACCCATCCAAAAAAACTATGGTTAGATGGGATAAGGTAAACACCAACTAAACTTTGGGCTAATTGGTCGAGAGGAATCTTGCATATCGATGGTGCTAAACTGCTTAATGACACGACTGCTCAAATGGCAGAGGTAGTTTACTTTAGGCTCTACATCACCCAAATATAAGGCAAAGAAAAACACTTGTCAATATCCAGAACTTCAAGTTGCACTCACCCTTATCTACAGATACGTGTCGAGTGAGAGAAAACATATGGAATGATGAACGAATCAAACTGTTCAACATCACTGAACCCAGCGCCACTGAGAATCGGGTACCCTGTTCTATCCAATGGTTCAACAGATGAGTTTAAGGGAAAATCTACAGTATTCCCATCCAATTTCAGGAATGGTTTATCATATTTTTTCCCCAATGAAATGATCAGTTCAAGTCATTTGGTGGGTACCATATGTTTTTAAATGTAGCTATGGAATAGTGGGATAGTGGACCATGGATAAATGATATATATATATATATACACATATTATGTACATATATATACCCCGGAAGTCTAAAGACTAAACTAAGTATAGTCGTTCCCAGAAGAACCCTACATTGGCACCCAAGACGCTACATTGACACCCCAGGGTCTTGGGGTTACCAGGGATCACCCAGCCACGCCCAACCACATCGGGTTTTTCACTCGCCGCGTCATTTGCGCTTCGCTGCTGACTTGTTCAACCTCATGTTCATCAATCAAACATTCTTGTCGTCACATGAGTTGTTTCCACAAAAATCAAAGTCAAATTCACACAGATCACAAAACTCTTGACCCATCCAAGATTTTTTGAGTCTTACAGTCTTACGATAAGGCACCTAGAGACCACACTACGAAACATAAAAATGCTACTAGGTGGCTGCTTCATCTTGAATTTTGCATGTAGCATCCTGGAAGAAAAGGAAGGACATTGAATGTCAGAAAATTAGAGAAATACCTCCAAAAACTTGGAGCAAAAAAACACGCGAACCACTGAACAGTCCTGAGCTTCGCAGTTCTGAGTAGCCAAGATTTTTGATGAGATGCATGCCCGCGTAGTGCCATTTCTTAGATCGGTGTGAAGTTCCACTGAACCACACCAGGTCTTCTGGGAACGATATGTTTGGTTTGGTCTTTGGACTTCCAGGGCCCCAAGCTAGTAAAATCCAAGTATCCCATGAGCATCGCATCGATCAGTATCAATAGTGCATAGATTCACGTGATACATCATGTACCAAATCAGGTCACTCAAAATACAAATATTTGTGCTAGATTGTGATAGGATGTATCATGTAACTAACATATTTTTCCAGACCCTTGCCACCATGGATCGTTTGAGCCACCCCATGGCATCCTCGTCGACGAACGTGTGCTCATGCCGAACATTGCAACCTTGGCAGCATGCTGGGCCCACGGGGGGCGGGCCACAGAAATGGTATAATATATATATAACATTTAAAATAATTATTATTATATAATAATTATTATAAATATAATATTCAGATTCATGCAACTGTACTATTTGACATGGTCGATAACATGATGCCCATGTTCGGGCCCAGTAGCGCCAGATGCGAAGTTGATAGTTCAGGTGTGCGAAGGCCTTGGTTTCTACAGCAACACCACTGGCCTACCCCATGCATGCATGCATGGATATCACTTATTGAATGACCAAAACATTGCGATATGACTTCCCCGTGTTTATGCTGTTTTTGCGACATGGCGATGTGATTTCAAATTTGTTTCCTGTCAAAACTGCTGATGAGGTCTTCAAGCATCAAACATCTAACCCAGAAATGACGCAAAATCAATGAGCATCTGAAAACTTAACATGAAATGCAAAACCTGAAGCTACGATGCCAAGGTCAGCTTCAACAAAAAACAGACGATATATGCAGCTGTACAGTATCTTATGAAAAATCGTTCTGCAGCAAAATGCATCTCGATCTAGAATCTAGAACATAAAAATATACTTGGAAAGTGCATCTGAGCTTTTTGGCATCACGACGCGAACACTGCAAACTGTCCACGTGTCAAATTTCCAAACCGGAAACCCAACGCCAAGGAACATGCAGCTTTGGCTTGATAAGGAAATGGAGTTTGGTCATCCTGAGTTGATCACCGATTTCTATGCTTGAAACGCAGGCAACAATTTTGCAATTGACATGACAATCAACTTGCAGACGGCGTGCACTTTATGTCACGCTGTCATGATCCATGATCTGTCATGATCCATGATCCTTCTCATAAGACCAGTCTCGCACAAGACATATGGTTAAGAAGGAGGTACGTCTCACAAAAACGCATTCCTTCTCGGTACACACGTTGTGCTTGCGCTGTTGTCCTAAGTTCAAGTTCGAGCCCAAGCAAAGGACCGGCACACATGAAGCACCCGAGCCTATATCTCATCAACCAGCCCAACACCCAGCCAAAGCCCACAGCCATCAACATGATTCGAAGCCCAGATTCAGAAACTGCGGGTACCTTTCAATGAGGCCAAACCAGCGGGCCAACGAACCCCTGAGGTCAAGAGACGGCATCGGGCGCCGTGGCCATGTGCCCAGTCAACTGTTGATCAAAAAATTCTTTGTGCTTGCCAAACAAGTTGTGCAGAGAACTCATGAATTAAAACCGGCCGGGGAACACACATATGCACATAGCAGGGATTCGGTGATCTGCTAATGGCTGGTCGCGGGATGCTTCTAGGAGTTCAAAGGCTAACCATTCAGTGATGCAACGTCCGTTGTAGGCTTTCGCCGTCAAAAGCATTTCACCAGTTTTTTTGCAAACCTGAGCAGCTCGGAGCTATCGCAGCAAAGGTCAGAGCGAGCTCCAGCAGAAAAGAGACATGTCATTGGACACAAATAAAATCACTAGGATGACTTGGACTAACACACGGTTGCACTACAAGCAACCATTTTCTCTGTAAAAGGGGGCTGAGAGCACTGAATCTTCCGCACCCGGCAAAAGTCCTTGAAGCGCTTGTATGCTGCGTCCAGCCGCTGCTGCACTGACAGGGCAAGGTTTCCAAAAAAAACGCACTCCAGCAAAGTCATCCTGATTTGGCAGGTTGCATGATTTAAAATAGCGGCGCACTTCATGATACTTTGATGGCGTGGCAGTTTTCAAACAAACCTCATCTCCAAATATTGCGCATGTATGCCGTGTGCACATGCACATGGTCTAGCTGGGAAACAATGCCGCGCCATTCACCGCGAAGCACAAGCCAAGGTTTATGACGTGCATGGAGCAGAACTTCAAGGTCTTCACGTGAAAGTCTTTCAGGCAGATCAATGGGCCTCAGCTGGGGCTGGCTTCCTAGCCATACAGAAGTATACAGGCTTTGCCTGTATATGGCAGTTCAGAAAACGAACTCAAAAAAGTGAAACTATATAATGAAACTTGGGCACATGGGTCCTTCTGTGGCATTTGCTGAGCCAGAAATTCAACCAATGTATACTGCTTGGTCCACAAGGGCGACGTTTCACTGACATCATAGAAACGGCACGGCCCAGAGTTCCACGCAGGGCACTGGAAGCAAACTGTCACTTTTGCTCCCCCTGACAAACTTGATCGAAAGCGGAGCAGCTGCTTGTGGTACAACCAGTCCGCCCGAACCTCTGTGACGGAATTTTTTTTTCCACCACAAATCGGTGTACCAGCACGTTCTTTTTGTATACCCTCCAGTTGCTCCCCACTTGGACCAGTTGATGGGTAAAGACCATCATGCAGACAGTTGAGCGACCAAACTATCCGGTGATAGATGCTGTTCAGGGTATGGTGCTGGTATAAGTCAGCTTCGTGGATAGCACACAGTAGCCACCGTGATGCTCTGACACTCTTAGGGCGCCACAATGGGGCATTCAGCCATATCCCCAGCACTTTTTCGGCTGGCTGAAACGCCACTTGCCTCACTTTTGCTGCATCACCATGCAGTCCCAGCGGTATGTGCTGATCCGTCGCTGTAGTATCACTAGCCCAAGGCGAACCCACTTCCCAATGATGGGACCAAAAAGCTTTGACATCGCTGTAATCGATTGCAACCCCCGCAGTCTCGAACATGTATTTCACAACTGAGAAAGGCTCTAACAGTTCCAGCTGTTTCATCTCGTAAGGAGGGTTCAACTTTGAGTTTGCCATAGGAACCCGGATTGTAGCTGTTTCCTAGGTCAACAACTCCTGGTTTCGAAAAAAACCGCAGAAACACTGGATGTATCCTTGGCGTGCTCTTCAAACTTGATATGCTAGCATCCTTATATCTGTCAATGTTCTTTTTAGTCTAAATCTTCATGTCGGCTATCTGGGTGGCCCTCTCTTAACCCATCTGAAAAGCATTTGGTTCATTGACTGCACCCACTCACTGCGGGGGATTTCCAAAATCAATTTGTAAGGAAATGAATGAGCGCAGGTTTCAACTGCATCAACCCAAAATGTTAATCTTTGAAGATGTCAGGTCACCAAAGGTCACCTCACTAAGAGCCAGCCAGCTTGAGTTTGCATTCCAAACTCAGACTTTCCTTCCAAGCAAATCGATGGCATCACCATACATCCAAGCCGAGACTCTACAGGTATTCTGCAAAATTTCCAAAAGTCGCGGCTGCTATTGCTTGGGAGAGATTTTCCCAATCGTCGGCTTACAGGATGGCAGTTGGATTTAGATTCCTCATCACGTCACAAACGGAACTCAGCACAAAGTGCTATGCAAGAACTGACTCCATGATTTTGGAAAAAAGTTGAGCCTCATGGCGCACATCTCCGCAAAAAAACAAGTCTAATTACCCAAGCCAAAAACTGTGCAGCTTAGGGTCCTTGACATGTGTTTTGATTCCTTTCATTGCACGGCGGATGCTGGAAACCTAGGCCAAACGCACGCCAACTGGCGGTGTATGTTATATTATATCAAATGCCTGCATTTGTGAAAGCTTTCAGGCATGACTGTATGCAGTTCATGTTTGCATGGATCTGAATATGACACTATATATATATAATAACAATAATATAATATTATCACAAATAAATGCCAACATCATGTGTCTATATATATATGCTGTATGTTTTTTTGATATATGTAGGTAACTGTGATATGCATGCGTGCATGTACATGAATTTATTATGTATGTATGCACATGTAATAAATGTATTCAATGTGTGTCGGTAATTATGATGTTTCGTATATTATGATGGACACATCTTCTGGTATTTTAGTGCACATGCATTTTTGATTTTTGTTGATTGTGTTTGTGATGTTTTGTGCATGCATGTAAATTTCTGAAGCTTAACTTCCAGCCGTTTTCGTTTTGAAATGGTAATTGCAACCGTCTGAAGACCATCTTAGGTAGATTGACCAGACGAATATTAATTTACATATATTGAAAATTGTGATTTTCCATATTATGTTAGTTTACCAAGGGGTAGTGGAATTTTCTAGATGGGAATATGAGGTGAGTTTTCTGAAGTTTAACTTCCAGCCGTTTTCGTTTTGAAATGGTCATTGCAACCGTCTGAAGACCGACTAGATGGACCTATAATAAATGGTTCTGAAATAACAATTCGAATTTCACTAAGACAACAAAAATAAAATATTGTTTCTCGAATCATCTCGAATCACATTTCCTGATTTCAAACGATGACCGTGTCAAGACCCTTCCCAATTGCAGCTGCCTGCCAAGATACACCTGTGGCGACATCCTCAATGGCATTGACTGCAACATAGGCCTCATCGTCACCTGCGTGGGTCAGGGAACTTGCGGCCAATTTCGTAAGTTTGGTTGATGTTTGAACGATTGATGTGTCCTTTTTTGATCATTTTTGTTTTGTTTTTCCTTACACTCTTACACGACTGATTTGCACAAACGCCCATGTGTCATGCACACGTGCAAGCGTGACCTCTTTTTTGTCACCTCCTGATCCCTGTGGGCACGTCACACAAGGTTCTATGGTCAGAAGTGTTCAGATTAAGATACTGTCTTTGAGAGAGAATGTCGAACCATTGGTGTTTGACCCGACTCATCCACATGCCATGGAAGATACCCAAGTAAGGGAAAACTGTGCCAATAAGATTGGTTGGATTATTTTGATCCAAAGAAACATCGGTCCATGAACATGAATTTGCACAAGGTTCGATGCAATCACTATGAAATTTTGGTTCCAATATATTTCATGGGTCACCTATGCAGCAATTGATCCATAGTGTTTCCCTTAATGGGTATCCCACCGGCACACCCCACGCGGACGCGATATCCAAACTACTTCGCGCTGGATACTAACCCCTGGACAAGCGAGGTACGATCAATAATGACTACGGCAAATCTCCTCAGGGGGAAAACGTAAAGGGAGTTCGAACTAGTTTCATCGAATTGATGTTCCAAGGATGTTTTCATCCCAACTGTCCAGCATCCTTTAAGGATTTGAACTCTTTGAGCACAGTGTCAGCTCGTTCCACCAACGCAGGCATCATAGGAACCTGGATCAAGAATGTGATTCGATATGTCGAAGTTATCAGATGATTTTATTATGGTATGATCATCATGCATGGCAAAATTTATCGATGTCAACTCAACAAATGCACATCCATCCATACGGTGCCAGTAGGGGTCTGACTGCATCAGTATCGATTGCGTTCTGCAAGGCCACCCGAGCATCCTTCAATGGAGCCTTCTGGGTTTCCAAGACCGCTCGGGCGGCATCTTGGAAGCCAGCAGCCCTTGGAACCGAGCAGCAAATTGGGAAAGAAGTGGTCAGATTGAATAAGGGGAAAATTAATATTAATGTCAACTCCGGATTGATAGACAATGGTTTACCAATTAGGGGAGTACTCCTCCAATAGTCATAATGTAATACTTAAATGGTACCCTCTGAATTAAACAGTTTATTAATCCAGGGTTGAGATTATAAATGTTGTGTGTTACATTACGTATGGAACGATAAAACATAATCGGTTTCACAATAAAATATATGATATATCATGGTCGACATAAATGTTGATTGAAATGCTGAACATGGTGATCTAACTAGCGAAAATGCTGATTTAAGGAGGAAACTTGGTGATATCATGCGGATATAACCAACAAACATCAGGATCTATGGGGATAGGTTCGATATAAAAGTCATATGCCAGACTTTTTGAATCCAAAAAATAACTTAACTTAGTATAGTTGTCCTTTCACCACCCACCTTGTAGTTGTTCTCAAAACATGTAACACATTTTATTATTATATCAAAGAATCATCAAGTGGTTATGTTCCCTTGAATCCCAATATATTAATCTTTGAGAAAACCATTGTCTCGATGTTGCCGACATAGCAGCTTACATATTTAAAGTACTATATTTAGCTGTATTCAATTACTCTACATTAATGATGATAAAACTACATGATAATATATATATATATATTATAATATAATCTTATGCCATGGGAAATTCATGGCTTGGCCATGGGAAATTCACGGAGTGCAAATTCCCACAAGGGGATTTTTTTTGAGATGGGTATTATAGTTGATTTATAACTTGGCCAGCTATGGTATGAGGGATATAACGAGGTGGTCAATGGTTTTTTTGAAGCAACATTGATAACTGCGGGGCATCACCTTGGAAAATATGCCTGTCAATTTCTGAATATCCCCACAGTATATCCCAAGATATAATCCAACCATCATTCAAACAATGGGGGGTACCATAATCACCATTATTTACCTATAGGGGGCTTTTAATCATCCAAATTGGCACAACCATTGAAATTGGGGTTGATCTAATGCAGTTCAAAACCAACTAACTTCATACTAGTTTACAAACATAGATTCCACATGTTTTTTTTTGGATTTCGCTGGCTCTATCTATCTGACAACTGTGATTCTTCCCCGACCATTCTGACGTGAATACAATAATAATGATGGGATCTTTGGATGGATCATGGTGCCAATGTAGGGTTCTTCTGGAAACGACTATATATATAATATACTTAGTTTAGTCTTTAGACTTCCGGGGTTATATAATATATATAATATATTATATAATAATATAATAGTACGTTCTTGATGTTAGGATGCTCGTGGCGTCCCAACGACTTTGCGGATGCAGCCTAGGTCACATAGCAGAGACCTTGATCTCTTTCTTGGCAACCTCTTGGATGGCGTTCTGCAGCTGGTTCAGCGCCTGGGCAAACATGCGCAGGTCTGGAAGGACAGGAAATTTTGAAAACCAGAGGACGAAAAAAACGATAATATCTGTAATGTAAACCACATGACAAAACAATATTCAAAGAACCTAATATATTGAATTGCTGTTTTTGGCATGAATTTGATGAATGTTAGGTAGATCGATGGGAATGGCGAACCCTAAATTTATCAAGGGTGAACTTTAATCTGATGAAGTTAGTTGCATTGGGATCGGATCGAAACATCTTCAACTTTCAAGATCTCACGATTTGTCTAACAACATGTTATTATCAATCACAAATTTGCCCTGGGCCATGAGGACATGTTTGGCAGCGACAAGGGTTCAATGTTCGAAATCACGGGTTTATTCAAAAAGAGAACCTTATGCAATTAATATCCGAAGTCAGAAAAATGCATCCAAGAACATGACACTGCACGGTGTGCACGCTTGCATTGATGCATTCACACACACAATCACAAAAATTGAAAGATGTATGATAATATAATATTTGTATAACTAAAACATACAAATATCATGTATGATTTTAAACAATACAAATTATATTATATAATATATGAATTATATGTTTGTGTGTTATGTGTGTGTGCATATGTCCATGTATATATATATAATAAGATTAGATAGATAGATAGATAGATAGATAGATAGATAGATAGATAGATAGATAGATAGATAGATAGACAGATAGACAGACAGACAGACAGACAGATGGATGGATGGATGGATAGATAGATAGATGGGTACACTCACCCACCCGCCTTCCTGCCAGCGGCCCTGGTCTTTTGCCTTTCCTTTTCAATCTTCTGCTTCTCTTCCTTCTCTGCCTTTTTCTTTGAGTTCTCTTCTTCTTTTTCCTTCTTTTTTGCTTCCTTTTCCTCATCCTTGGCCCTTTTCTTTTCCTCCTTTTCATCCTCTCTCTTCTTCTGCTTCTCCAACTTTTCAAGATCTGCCTTTGTCAGCCTCGATTCAGGAGAACCCTTCCTGCTCTTCTTCTTGGCATTCTTTTTGCTTTTGTTTGCTTTGTCCTTCTTTGCAGCCTTCGTTGCCTTCGTTGCCCTCGTTGCCCTCGTTGCCCTCGACGACGCACTGTCGCTGCTGCAGGCCGATCTGCTTGACTGGCTGGACTTGCTGCTGCTGCAGCCACTGCTCTTGTCGCTGCTTGCGCTGGAAGAAGTCGATCGCTTGCGCTTCTTTTTGCTTTTGCCATGGTCCTTGCTGCCAACCTTGCTGCTCTTGCGATCACCCTTTTTGCCTCTGCTGCGGCCACGTCGGTGGGTATCATCCTGAGAGCAAGCCAGCAGCTGTTCGACGACAAAGTCTTCTTTGTCTGTTTCGTAGCTTTCATCCCAGCACAGATACAACCTCAAATCGGCCCTATGCGGCAGTTCCGGGTGGTCTCTGCACTGTGTCTTCCTCAAAGCCGGGTCCGCCTCCTTGCACCGGATGAGCTCGTCTGCTATGGTTTCATCATTGTTGTACTTCTTGATGATGTCCTGCCTTAGCATCCATCTGCGGCCTCCGGTCTTTGAGCCGGACACTGACGACCGAGCTTGGACCATTAGCTGAGACCTGTCCCAGTGTCCATCTGCTTGGATCCACTGCTCCCACAACACCTGCATCATGTCGCTCTTGCTGCTGCCTTGGCTACAACCAGATCGGCTCGACATATACAAATACGCAAACATGCATGCATCATATATATCATATAATATAACGCGGTACATTGATAATAGGATCGAAAAGGTAAACAATATGCAATAGTACCCTGGGTATGCTAATATTATTATATATAAATACGCGCGGTACACACGAATGTATTATAAATAAATATGCATGTATCACGTGTGCTTTATCATTATAATATATTATATCATAGTTTTGGTCTTTAGACTTCCGGGGTAAACAGTTATAATATAACCTTGAAAGATGGAACCTGTAACAGTCCATGATCGACCTGAGGCCAAGATGCTTCCACGTGCGTTGGCAGCCATGGAACGAATTTCAGGAGGACTTCTGGAACCTTGGGAGAGATGGTATTGGGAGGATAATTACTCCCATAGCACTAAAGTAATACACAACTTTTTTGATCAAATAAACTCATTCGTGCAAATTCAAAGTGGGTGGCAAAATGATTCAAAGCGTTCATTGTAGGAACATCACAGTGTGCAAACGAAATGAACATAGTTGATTACTTCGTAACATGAACATTGTTTCCGGAGCCAATGCTGATGTAGCAGTTTCTGGACACACAGTTTCAAATGGCTTCGATGGCGCATAAGCCCCGTACTGTCCAAACTTCGGTAGAAAGACATCTTCTTTTTATGGACGATCAATTGTGCTGGAGTTCGGGCTTTCTTTTTGTGTCCGTTCACATCCACTGCACCATCAGCAACTGGGACGGTGGGAGCTGGGGCAGTGGCAGCTGGGACTGTGACAGAGGGCGCTGACGAGCTGGGTGCTGGCGAGGTGCTGGGTTCTGGGCTGGTGATATTGCTGTTTTGTCTGTTCAAAATATCACAAACCCCATCAAAAGAAGGACTCCCTCTAGAGAGAGCAGGGCGGGCTTCTGATGCCACCTGCGGTGTGGCAACTGGGCGTTTGTTGCCATCATCATCCTTTCCCTTTGCTTCATTTTCTTTGGCCAACTTCTCTGCAGCCTCCTTTTCCTTCGCTTCACGTTCTTTGGCCAACTTCTCTGCAGCCTCCTTTTCCTTCGCTTCACGTTCTTTGGTCATCTTCTCTGCAGCATCCTTCTCTTTTGCTTCACGTTCTTTGGCCAACTTCTCTGCAGCATCCTTCTCTTTTGCTTCACGTTCTTTGGCCAACTTCTCTGCAGCCTCCTTTTCCTTCGCTTCACGTTCTTTGGTCATCTTCTCTGCAGCCTCCTTTTCCTTCGCATATTTACGTTCTTTGGCCAACCTCTCTGCAGCCTCCTTTTCCTTCGCTTCACGTTCTTTGGTCATCTTCTCTGCAGCCTCCTTTTCCTTCGCTTCACGTTCTTTGGTCATCTTCTCTGCAGCCTCCTTTTCCTTCGCTTCACGTTCTTTGGCCAACCTCTCTGCAGCCTCCTTTTCCTTACGTTCTTTGGCCAACTTCTCTGCAGCCTCCTTTTCCTTCGCTTCACGTTCTTTGGTCATCTTCTCTGCAGCCTCCTTTTCCTTACGTTCTTTGGCCAACTTCTCTGCAGCCTCTTGTTCTTCGGTCAACTTCTCTGCAGCATCCTCTTCCTTCACTTTCGCCAACTTCTCTGCAGCCTCCTTTTCTTTGGTTTCAAGTGCTTTGGCCAACTTCTCTGCAAACTCCCTGTCCTTAGCTTCAAGTGCTTTGGCCAACTTCTCTGCGGCCTCCTTTTCCTTCGCTTCAAGTGCTTTGGCCAACTTCACTGCAGCAGCCCTTTCCTTATCTAGTAGCATCTGACTCTTGATCACTTCGCAAGATTGATCCTCCTCGACATAGGTGTCATCACAGGCTTCGGCACCATCTTCATCAAGAAGACCAGCTTCAATGTCATCAATGGCTTTCAAATCATCCGGGTGATTTGAATCGATTTCATCAAAGTCCAACTTCCGAGGCATGAAGGTCCCGTCATCATCGTCGTCGTCAGAGACAGCTACACCAGGTCTGTCTGTCTCCTGATCCTTTTCCTTGTCTTGGTTCCCTTTCTTTGCTGCCTTCATTTCTTTCTTTTCTTTCTTCTTCTCTTTTTTGTCTTTCTTGACTTTCTTGTCTTTTGGCTGGTCTGCGTCTCCTCCAGTTTGATGCTCTAACTTCTTGCTCTTCCCTGACGGATCTTCCTTTGAAGGCTTTGCTTTGGCTGCCGTGCAACCGGGTTTAGGGGGCAGGTGCTCAGCAGGGACCTCATATGCAGGAGTCCCAGGTTCGTCACCCAGGATCAAAGTGGCTTGGGAATCAATCCTGTGAAAATCATCTTCATCCACTTCGTTCGACCTTTTCAATCTTTTGGTGGGCGGGTTGTCACCTTCCAACTCCTTAAGTGCAACCTTTGTTGCTGCTACTGCGATGTCATCGGCTGCTGCTGGGATTGTAGGCATTTCGCTGACATTTCCTGAAGCCCGGAAGAGGTCAGGGCAGGATACCAGAATTCACTTTAGCATACCAAAACAATTTTCATATAACCATAAACAAAGGAACATAATTGCGAGTTCATAATCTTGGGAACATCATCTCAACAAATAATAATTGTTGGTATGCAAGATGCGCCTATGGGAGTGCAAAAGGATCATGATCAAGAACGCCATGTATGCCCATGTATCATGGTGGTAGCATGCATGCAGCATGTATGGTGTGGTTTGTGATGCTGCGTCGTATGCTAATGATCAACTTTCACCATGTGTGATCATCGGTCTCCAAAACGAAGATAAACAATGTATTTCAACTATTATCTATGCATGATCAGGTCAGTGGTCATTGTCACTGTGTCAAGATGGTTCTTTGAACAGGTTTCCCAGCCCAACTTGGGTAGGATAATATTAATTAACACATCAACAACTTGCTGATGTTGCTCCCAAAATTGAAAGTACCCTAGGCACATGGTGCACCTGAAATGAACGCGATCCGGGTATTACATCATTATGTTTTCAATTATATAAATTAAAAATAATATATATTATTATATAATATATTTAACACAATTTCCTTTGAAAGGGGTCCTCGGAGTGAAAGGAAATCTTGTTATGTTACATTTTGTTCCAAAAGTTTCTTCTACTATATTAATTAGTATCTATTTCCTGGTTAACCATTCACTGACCCAGCTCTCAAAGACAGAACTCGGCCCTGGTCCTGGTGTTTCCTCAGGAGCAGCTGGCTTCGCACATCGCATCTTCCTTTGAGCGGCCTTGAGTAAGGCCGCCTGCACTGGATCCGCCAGTGCTGCCACTTCCGGTTGGCCACCGTTTTTTTTGACCATTGCAGCTAAGTGCACAAGGCCTCACCCTAGATTGAACCTTAAATGCCAAAAGTACATGGGTGACCCAACTGATGATTCTGATAACATCCGTAACACTGGTCATTTCTATGAATTTGTGCAATTACTGGATCTGCATGCGCCACAACACTTTAGACGTTGATAAGTTCATGTCAAATTGCTCCAATAGAGTATGCCATGGTTTTGGTATAACTGAATCAGATTTCCATGGGAATGGGATGGGTTTCCAGGGGGTGGCAAACCACGGTCTTTCCACGGAATTGTTTGGTCTTTCCACGGAATTGTTTAGTCTTTCCACGCCCGGACCACGGTCGAACCACACCCCCCCTGGCACCCAATCCTGGATTTTTGCAGACAGATCAATGTCAGGTTAAATCAGTTGGCAAATTTGCCATGTGCATTAGGAAGGATGACTTTGACACAATAATTTCACAATCATATCCAACATTTCTGAAGTATAGCATGTGAACATACATAACTCCCAGTTCTTACGCTTATGTCAGATTCGGATTGCCTTCCCTCATGCCCATGGGCCCACAGCGTTGCGCCTAAGAACGCAATCTTTGTTGTTGTCTGCAAATCCCATTGCAACATGATTTAATCCAGTCCTAGTGGAATCGCAGGGATATAGTTGCCCTTATCCCGCTGCTCCCTCAGAAAGCTCTGCACTGGCTGCAGGTCAGCGAGCTTCCACTCTGGACCCAGGATTGATGGTGCCTTGGCAGGAATTGGAGACTCGAACCAACCGACTGGCTGGTTGGTGAAGGGACCCGTGTTAAGGTGGAGATCAGATAAGATACCTGGGCTGAAATATAATACAAGCTGAATCATGAAATTGTTCGAACTATACCTGCAGTATCGTCGCTGGATTGGATGATATGATGAAACCAATTCACACATAATATGAGGATATTGCTAATTTTCCACTTGGGTTGGTCCCCCAAAAAAGGCCCCCACAAGTCCCCATAAAATGTAGGGAAAACACTGTTTTTTGGGGACTTGTGGGGGTCTTTTTTGGTGAACCAACCTAAGTGGAAATTTACCAGAGGATATCGACGCATTTTGAGACCACTGATCGGCCCGCTCATCAGTAAAAAGTAATCCACCTGAAAGAACGGAATTTGTCTGACTCACATGCCCATCTTGATGTGACATGCTGGCCGATTTTGATTATGGCATATCATGCATGTATGTTATATAATATTATATATATTATCTGAAGCTGGACAGTTTCATGGGGCGCTCACAAACAACCGTGCTCTTATTGAAGAACACTTGTACTGTGGCGCTGGCATGGTTGAGTTTCGCATTCATGATGGATTGAAATTTCATGCACCCACAGTGCATGAGAGCATGGGGTTCGGGCCAGAACATTTTCATTCCACAAAGATTCTTAACCAGCAGCAGTTTATTAACCATCCGGTAAACCCTGGATGTCACTTAATTTCCCAAAAGGGGTCAAACACAGTTCCAAAACGATAGGTCCCCGAACACTCTTTGTGGGGACCTATCGTCTGAGCCCATTGCTTTCTAATGAGTGGGCCCAAAAAAAACACTGAAAAATGACCGCATTGTTCCTGTTTCTTTTTGGCACTGTGCAACCATATCTCAGATCAAGACACTTAAATGCTTGGACACCATTGGGGGCAAGTCCAATCCCTGATAGACATGCTATGGAAATAATCGGAATGTGTTTTCATTTGACACCATGCTTCTATCTAGCAAAGTCAAGTCAAGGAGTCCCTGGCAGGCTCCTTAGGATACCGTTGAGATCAAGACTATTTTGCTATCGATCGAGACACTTGGCGCAAAAGGCTCCGAAGCTCCGCACCCGAGACAGGGTCTGGGAAACAGGTGGCCAGTTGTTCACGTAGAGCTCCATGGTTCTGTGCCTCGATGGAGACAATGACAGTGACTGGTCACCAACGTTTTAACTCCAAAATTATTGAAATATAATTCGATTGATTGTGTGAAAAAAATCCCACGTATCATCAGATTTGTAAAAACTATTTTGTACCCGAAAAAATGAACTCTATTTTGAAGAGATTAAAGGTTGACCTATATAGGGAATGAAAACGCAATTGGTGGATACAGTTCATATGTGCATGAACCAAGTTACAACATGAGTACTGTGGAGCTTGGCGACTTCTTTTCCATAGGCTTTTGGGTACACCTGTGAATGTTTGAGCGCCTTTGTTCCCTGCCTCGGTCCGGGTTGCATGGGTAAAGCTGCATTCCAAACTTATATATATATATATATAATATATCAATATATGGTTGCACCATGCAACATGTATGATCTTACTTACGACAGCATGCACGATCTGTCATATTAATTTTTCCATCTCATCCGAGCTAAGACATGGACACTCTTTTTTGCCATGTCGATCTGTGTAAGTCTTCACAAGGGCAGCACCTTTCTTAAGCAACCGCCTCTTAAGTTTCTGCCGCTGAGCCTTTGTAAGCTTTCGGTAGAGGCCTGCAGGCCATGGCCTCGGAAGATCAACAATGGAAATTCTTACAGTAGGAACCATGTGGGTCCGGGGCAATGCTGTACACAAGTGGATCTTGAAACTATTAATATATATATATATATTATATTGTTTAAATGTTCTTTTAATATATTTTATTATATCATAATTGTAAAGAAGTTATATATGTATTTTAACAAAATAAAATATATACCGGGGTGTATAATAAAGCCTTGCAGTGTGGAACACACAATCATCAGGACAAGTGAGCTGGGAAATTTAGATTCCGAACGCCATGGCATTAGAATAGAAAGATCAACCCCTTTGAAGAATACCAAGTGTTTGGGACCAACGTCAAATCAACTCGCTTCTTGTAATATGAGGATTGATTTTGTAACAAAATGGTTTCTTTAAAAAAAAATGATCGAACGATGACTGTCGATCATATTTTTCATTACAAGCAAAACTTGGAGAACACAACATGGGAAACCGCTTTTCAAAGCCCATTATCCAAGAAGCCTTTGGAATGATACCATCGTCCAATCTCAACCGACCGTGCAAGATCCAGGACAGCAAGTTCTAAGCTGCAACACAACTGGGGGCCCAGGCGCAGTGCCAAACAGGACGCTTGGCTTCGGTGTTGCTGCTCCCCATGACCCCATCCACCTGAGAGTGCGCAATGACTGGCAGAGGTTTTATAAATTACACAAGGACTGATGTTGGGTGATGTTAAAACCGCCATCCACTATGTTTTGGAACTATGTTGGCATAATCTTAGAGAAATCAGTTTACTTTATAATTTGTTGAAATCACACTACACTACCAATAATCCCGCTTCTCTTCTATTGTCATGAAGATTTCATGAAATAAAGTTAGCTATCGTATGCTATCGTATTATGTTCTAGATCGTTGGCATTTTGGCTCACAATTATATTAATTATATTATATTTAAAAAATGATTAAAACAAAATAATCATATATCAGACACACCAACTTGTACACTACTTGAGCAGCTGGGGACCCGGACATTCTTGTGGATCGCCAGGGAATGCCAAACCTTCTTGCCAGCCGCTGTGCAAGTTTAATGAATGGGTCAAACCACGGCATCAGCGAAGTTCTTGGTTGCTCCACCAAGGTGTGACAACACCGGGCGATGGCAAGTATCAGCACGAGCACCAATCTACTTGTGATCCTTGGCTTGGCAACGCTTAGCATCATGGGATTCCAAAAGTGCAAGGTTGAATCGACATGGAGGTATGATACAGATCCAAAAGAATAACTCACTCAATGGGGGGCTTCCAGAAAAGAAGGTTACCCTCCAACATAATTGTTTCTTGTGAATAAAAAGGACAGGTCGTTAATATATTCGGAGTGAACATAGATCGTACCGATATCCAGTGTTCACATGCGACCCGTGAATTCAGAATATCAAGGGGCTGACAACAAATGATGATCATATCTTAATCCAATGAACTTTCTGCCCAAGAATCGTGTTGGCTGGGGCTTCTGATGCCACACCACCATCCCCTTCTGGAGACTCTCGAGATCTCCGGGATGTGGCTCGATTCACCCACACCCATGAGGAGCAAGGCGGGCCACAGTGAATGAGTCCTTCTGGAGCAAGTTTTTAGCACCAGCTGCACCAGTCGAAGGAATCCCCTCCTTAGATGATCAGGAAAGAGCCAGCGCAGTCTTTTGCTATCATCATGGTCATTTTTTACAGTCCATAAGTGTCAGTATATATTACAGTATATCAAAAATCATAGGTCATATCATGCATACTGAAATGTGTGGATCACCAAGCATGCTATCATGTGCATGTGCATATTTGTTGTTGGCATGCACATGCTTGCAGTACTGCAACAAAGCTTCGTAGTCAGAATGTCATCTGAGTAAGCATTCGACTGCAGATCATAGAGTTTCCTGAATCAGTTGCATGATGCCACTGACACTATCTCGATCTTTCTTTCACCATGATCGATACTGCCCTGGCTGCACACAATCTGAGGAGCACACCCTCGTGCCCCTTGGCTGCCTGAGCGCGATTCGGCGGCAGAAACTCAATGTGACCATGTGGATCAAGTAATTCAGTCAGCATATCTCACTTCAAGTGATGGGGAAGGATTAAATACCCAGTTGTATAGGGCTCCATGGAGGTCTCTGAGGGAGCCAAAAAAAACAAATCAACAAAAAAAAACTCTTGCTGATAATTTTTTGGATGGTGTGTTGGGCCAAATTTGGGAATATAAAGTCTCTATTTCAACAGGCGCTGCTTTGATAGAGGCTTTGACAGGCTTAAAAGCAATTTGGGGTCTATGTTGGGCCCATGTTGGGTCATTTGGGGGGACTATGGGCTAAAAGATGACCCCGAGACCTCCTGGACCTTTATGCCCAGTTGAAGTCATCAACCTATAAAACCAGGTCTGATACACTGTAAACGTACTGGTTGCCATCACATGCAAATAAATCAAAAATATTATGTTCGACTGCATCACATTTTACATGTGTTTGATATTATATTAGGTTCTGAAGCCACCTTCAAAGTTTCGAAGTGAAACACGTAAAAATACAGTTTGAGGCATGGACGAAATCCATGCGCCACAGATGCCTGTCCACCAAAGACATCGCAAAAGTCCAGGTCCTTGGCAGAGCGCACACACTTCAACATGGTAGGTGGATGTTTATAATCTATATTAGTATTATATACTATGTATTATATAAATTCATACACCCTGACATACCCTGACTGTAAAAACTAATATACATATCCTGCAGGCAGTAATATATATTACAAATATAATATATATATATATATATGATATATTGATTCTGATCATCGCACACGCAACCTAGCAAAATGAACAAATTTATATAATCAATCAATTAAAGGATATGCGCAAATCTGCAGGAAACCATTGAGCCTCCAACTCTGGCCGAGAAGGCTTCCCCGGTGTTCTGGCAAACAAAGTCCGCTGCATGTATCCTTTGTCGCAGGCACTTCAATTGGTTCCATGAAGAGTCGGAAGTGTAACAGTGTATGAATGCAACCCGCAAACAACAAGACAACCGACCACTACTCCACAACAAAAAATTGATGCTAAGGAACATTAAGACCGGACATCCCAAGGCCAGCAAGACATAGATTGCACGAGGAGACATCGCCAACGGCGATTGACGCCACTGGTGGTTGACGATGGGCATGGTAAGCAGCACCCCCACCGATCCCACCGAAACCTTTTGGGCCTTCAGCTGTAATAAAAAATATAATGCATGTATATTTGTGCGAATATGATTCACGTGTGCGTGCCCACATAAACCATTAGAGAATCAATGCACCTGAATATGCATCATTCTTGAACAACATCAGCTTTGGCCATATACGAATGGTGACATCACTTGCTACACTACAATTATATTAATTAATTCATATATAATGGAATGTAACATTTTCATATAAAGAGTCGATCCATACTTGATACTGTGGACGCAAAGTAAAACTTCCAGGTCAGACTGCAACAAAGGATTTCTTTTGGAGCGCCCCAGCGATGCTCTGATTTCACCGGCTAGCATATACCAGCGACATGGATTTGTAGGTGAAGTTTCTCAAAAAAAAGTACCGCCTAAACACAGCAAGGCCGGCTGGTGTTTTGAATGACTGTCATGCCGCCTAAACTAAGAGCAATGATTTCGAGAGTTTTGTGGATTGGTTCTTGCCAGCCCTGCTAAGTCCCTAAAGGTGATACTTTCGATCGGCCTTGATTTCAAATCACTCCGAGGATTCGGCCACTGCCTCCTTCGGCTCCTTCGGCCCCAAGGGCACCCAGCCAGCCACTTTGATCGCAAATTCCCACCTGAGCCAAATATGATCATGTTATATTTTCAAGTGTTATAACGTTATATATAATATATTATATTATATTATCGTGTGGATATATATTATGTATGATAATAATATACCATCGATCTATGAGACAGAATTTTCTGAGTCAGGCTTTAAAAAAAGGAACTCAGAAAGTAATTTATTATTATTGTACGACACTGTTCACTGTTCCATTGATGCCCCCAAAATTGTGATGAACCACATTTCCGTATATATTTGTCGACTTGCAGGATCATCTGCACACATGCATGCATGGTGGACTGGTGGACTTGGTCCATTGAGATGAGAAAGCGACACTAATCTGAAAAACTATGGCCCCAGCGCTTCGCGGATGCCACCAAATCGGGACCATCCCAGGCTCACGCCCTGCTGCTTGTTCACCTGAGCAATGAGCAAACTGTAGTGAACCTTGGCAGATTATTTGATGAAGCTTGGCCACCAACAGTGTATCATTTCATCGACTTATCATGGCAGTTCGTTTTATAATATTATGCAAGGATCGATGTTATATTATGAACATATCTTGGTTGAACATGGTCGAAACGAAAAACATGCAGCCAAAAGACCTTCACTGGTGTCTCAGAAAGTTTCAAGTCGTTGAATCGTTTCACGCGGGCTTCGGGCACTTTGTAGAGATAGAACGTTGCCCCGCGATCAATCCTGAGAAGGGGAAAAAAATAATGTAGTACGCTGGTTGAAATTTGAACACATCGACACCATAAGTCCAGCAATGAACATTGTTTTATATAATAATATAATATAATATAGTATATAGGAACGCTGCAACACTAAGAGAACATGGCCGGATAAGAATTGTAGTTGGTGTTTTTGCTTTCATCCCAGTTCTAAAGTCTAATAGAGTCAACCCTCGGTCCAGAAGTCCCCTGAGAGTCCGGCATGACACCGATCGAACAAATGTTCAAACCATCTTGAGCTTCAACTTGGTGCCGAAGGGTGAAAGTCCTGACGCCGAGGTGCATGCATGCATGCATGCATGCAGGTGATGCAGAATCGATTAAAGGGACGAATCTATGATGGTTCCACCAATCTTCATGGCACTTTTTGGTTCACTTTCTTGGTACTTGTTCAAGCCGGAAAACAAACGACGGTAATTCAATGGTACACATGCATATATATCATGGGTGAAAATTACATGTGTATTATTATGATATAATATATAATATACTAGTACACATGTGTATCATGCATGCTCATCACAACAGTGTTGTTTGTGGATCAACCTGGCCCCAAAGCTGAGGAGGGAACTTCTTGGATTTCCAATCATTTGGTGGATCGAAGTGACGCAGATCAGGACGGGCAGCATCCAGCAAATCCTGCCAAAGAAGCGAGTGCGCCCGATATATACTGTGTAAAATAATTTATATTATATATTATATTATATTATTTATATTATATTATATTAAATTATATTATATTATATTATATTAATATATATATATATATTAAAATAACACTGGAACATGGGATAAGATTTCAGTCCTTGGGGCTTGTCTTCGTTTCAAGAGCTCCTTTGATCATCATGGGTGACCGCCCCTTGAGCGGTGTTTTCTTCCTTGGTTTCTTTGGCATCTTTTTGGGCGTCGCCTCACCTCTGTCTGCCTGGACTGAAGACGGGGAAGCCTCACCTGCCTTTTCCTCAACACCTTCTCTCTCTTGTGCTTTCTGCTTGTCAACATCTTCTGTTTCTTTCTGATCTTCTGCTGGGGGTGCTGCATTGTTCTCAACACCTTTGTGGCCTTTCTGATCCTTATCTGGTAACTTTTCTGCTTTTCTTTTCTTCGTTTTGGGCTTGGGGGATGCATGCTGGGCGTTTCTGTCAGGCGAAGCTTGTTGATCTGCTGGCAGGGTGACTTTCGATGGCTCTGACTCTTCCTTGTCCTGATCTTCTAAAACCCTTTTCTTTCCTCGTCCCCTTCCTTTTCCCCTTCCTGTTCCCCTTCCTTTTCCCCTTCCTTTGCCTCTCTTGGGAGGGTCATCATCATTTGCTTCATCTTTATATTTCTCATCAGGGTCTTCATCCGCTTCCTCCTCAGGATCTTCTTTGGCTCGGGCAGCCTTCCTCATGAGCGCTTGGGCCTGCATTCCAGGCTGTGCATATATGCACAGATATATATAGACGATATGTGTTAAATATATTATATATTATATAATGTATCGTGCAGGTAGAATATATAATAGCATTAATATAATATATATTATATATGTGCGAAGTCCCACGCAGAATGTTGCACCAAACAAGGTTGACAAAATGAATCATACAATCAGCAATTCCTATGTCCATGCATGATGCACAATTTGGAATGAACTTTGACATCGCATCCGAAACACCGATCAAAGCTAGCCTCCAACAAGCTCGCAATTTCATTTGAAGATTTCAGCCTCTGAATCTGAGTAAAGACTTGAGCTTGCAAGGAGCTGTCTGGGAGCTGAGCAATTTCGGCTGTGAGCGGCTTGGCATCCTGGCTAGCTGGGACAAGCATGATACAGCATATATATCCACAAACGCGGGGTGATTCTCAGGTTGTAAAGTCCATCATCATTGAATCATGTGATATTTTTTTTGCGATCATATATAAGAAAAAACATATGCTCGTGGCGTGGGCATTGAAATTTGAGAGAGGCAGAACCTAACATGCTTATGCAAAATATTGCACATGCATGCATATATCAATACACTGTGAACCTATTCAAGCACAAAAGCATGCAGCAATAATAAATAACATAAAGAAATATTTAAAATGTATGATAGCAAGGAAACTGCAAAACACTCTGATCCCTGATGCATGCTGCATGCATTTATATGTCATGATCAGTCCTTGTGCGTTCCAGTAGCGCCACCGACGTGCTTCCCATCTCGATCTCCACTTGGAGACTCATCATCGCTAACATCGACCATGGATGGTTCAGGGGTCTTCTCCAACTCAGTGGGTACTATACTACTTGATGATCCATGGACCTCGTATTTTGTTGGGGTTGGCAAATCATACAGCTCCTCATGCATCTCTTCATGAAGCGCCAGTGGGTCGGATGGTTCATCATCCTGATCGGTCTCTTCCTCACCAACTTCTTGGTTATCATCATCACCATCGCTATAGTAGTACTCAGAAGAAGGTTGCCGGTCAGGGGTAGGGAACGTTTCCTTTATTCTTCTTTTCAAAACCCTGTTTTTGACCGGAGGCCCCTCAGCAACTTCAGGTTGCGACGGTGCAGCTTCCACAGACTCAACTTTGGTTCCTTTGTCCACCTGGCATTTCTTCCTCAAATTCACGAAGTCATGCATGTTTTTACATGATTTGGACATAAAAAGGCATCACATTTGACCAGTTTGACATGATTTCGGTCAAGCTGCATGAAATCACATGTATATTCAATTTATGGATTATACAAATCATGGTTGACCTCAAACTCGTTTATATAAACACATTCCGTGAATATAAAAATTATCTATAATCTAATTGCACATACTAATATCATACATGATAATATATTATAAGCATGCATATATTTCAATAAATTATATTAATTATGCATATTATATTGTATATGAACGAGCTTGACTGCGAGACGAGCGCCCCTGGCCTTCGCCTCAGGATCCAATTTGTCATGGGACCTTCCTTTCGTGGGAATTTTCTTCCCCTCTTTCAGCAGGCCTTTCTCCTGGGAACATGTGGCGCTGCAGGATTTGTGGGGTGCAGAACTTTGCTATATCCTGGATCCTCGTTACTGTCAAAACGTTGAGATCTGAACCATGTCAATAGTTTCACTGTCGGCCAACTCCAAGCATTATCATTATTCTGGCTGCGATACCGATAAATCATGTAGTCCAACAATCATGGCTTATGCAAACTCATTCTTCTAGGAGAGTTTGACTCCATGAGACCTACTCCATTGATTTGAGTAATTGGATCCGAACATTCCAATTTTGAAACTCTGGCCCACCCAACCTTAAGCTTTGCCATGACCAGCTGCTTCAGGTCTGACATCTTGGAGTGACCGGGCCTCACATCGGGCAAGAACAAGGACAACTGTTTGAGGGGGCACAATGATGACGTTTTTTTCCATATATTATATTGTTGATATTATAATACATGGATACATCAACAATAATTCATGAATATGTCCTGTATATTACTTTAAATTTCATGTTACTGTAAACATCAATACAACATGAAGACAGATCGATGTTGGAAAAAAACTGCACGTGCGCAGTGTTAACAAACGATGCTCTTTAAAAGTAATTGCATGCATGCATGCAGTGAATGAATCACCACCCTGAAATCTCTGGGGGCTAAACCGAGCTTGCGTCGTACGATTGCAGCGGTTGCAAACATACGATGCAAGTGCTCGATGCTGTCCACCTTCCAGGATGCTCCATGCCTGCATGCATTCACATGATAAAATTTAGTCGTGTCATGTTGGGGGCGGGGATTAATTACCTTCAGAAGGCGATTCAAATACTAGCTAGTCTGGATTATCTAGAATCATTTTTCAAGTCGATGTTCAAGAGAACAATTGAAACAATCTTGAAGCCGCTGAGTTTGACTGAAACCAGGCTGCTCAACCAAAGGGCATCACATCATGATATGACATGACCATGAACACCAGAACCGACCCATCCAGCGCCGCCTCATGCTTCCCAACAGAGTCAAAACGGTTCAAGTTGTGCTCCATCGAAACTTTGGTGAGGACGTCCTCGGCACTGAGTACTGAGAGCGGGGCGCAGGTGCTGGCAAATTTCAAGGACGGTCACCCATGGGCACCTATCACAAACCCGAAATTCTTTCAGAGGCGGTGTACAAATCACAAAAATAACATAAGATCACATTATTTATTACAAAGGAAACGTTACCCACCAGTGGATTTTTAACATGTAATATATTTTATCTTATATTTTATTATATATTATAATGATAATATAGTAGTTACTAGTAGTAAGAATATAATATAGAGTATTATATACATGTATATGGTCTTGTCGTGTTTCAAAATTTGCAGGCCCGCCTCTACCTCCATCTGCGTCGGAAGGTCTCCAGTGAATGTAGCCAAGTAGTCGAGGAGGAACATGTAGTTGGCTTCCTTCTCTACCTTTACAGCACGGTTTTTGGACAAACTTATTGGCTTGCTGTTCACAAAGGACTTCAAATTTCAAACAAAGATCAAGATATAAATTTAAATAGTTAAGCTGAAGTTTAAAAAAACATATTTGACACACATTATCTCTGTTTTCAATCAAACTGTTGCATATATATATCATTGCATGCATGAGTTCATGTGTAAAATTATCTCTGATCATGTAAGCTAAGCTTAAGCATGTATGGTATAGCGCTACATGCCTGCAGGTAATATGGCACAAACCAAACCCATTTGACTTGCAGCCTGCCAATCTTATTATATTACGAAAATATAGCTAGATCGATCATAGATCATAAATCTCGCGATGTTATCGAGAAGCTGAGTGATTTGTTAGATTATAAATGTTAGATGATGGCATGGATCCGAAAGGGTGGCCTCGTCCTCTGTGATGCGCTTGCTACTCAAATTGAGGAAGGTGAAGACCTCATGCGCTGCAGCATGGAACAGCTACTAAGATCAAGATGGTGTCATGAAGATCGGTTGAAGAAGTTTGCCATCTCAACCAAAACTTCAAACCATAACAAGCGGAATTCAATCGGGTCACACACACTCACATAAACAGGATTGATCCCACATGTTTCCGCTTGAAACTGCTTTGCACGAAGGTCTCAGCTACTGTGCATTGTCATGCATGTGTATATATCTGTGGCCCTGGCATGCCCACGGCGCTTGGTTTTTCGAATATCCTTTTGCCTTTGATCTATGAACTCGGGGGTCAACATCTCATCGTACATGTCCTGTAGCCGATGGATTGAGACACGAGTGCATGCATTGACATGTAAACATCGACGAATGCAAATTGAAAAACTGATTATATAATGTTCAATTTCAAATATATCATATCAATCAATATACCATGCATTCATGCATGTTGGATTATATAATATTAGCAGCTGGGCCTTCAACATTGACATCCTTTCTGCTGACATTCTGGATTTTCGGCGCCGTCCCATCGCAGCTTCACAGCGCTGCGCTATGATCCAAATAACTGCCACATTGATTGAAACCCTTATCGCTTGACCATGTGTTAAGTCAACTGATGCATGCATGCATGGCATTTTTTTAAACTCTTGATTGCAATGCCGGGGGCCTGGTCAAAAGAGATTCGAAACATGTGTCACCCAACCACCAAACTGATGCAGCTCCAAAAGCAGCGGCAGGGCAGGCGGCGGGGTGCACCTGCTTCGGGCTCCTCACCATCGGAGTCCCAGTTGTATTGCCCCAGCAAGTCGAAGCCAGCGTGGCCTAGGCAACATCAAGTATAGGGATGGCATCCATGGGGCCGTGCCAGAATTTGAAACACACACACTTCCATTGACCAAAAATCACTTATGATATTATATATAATGTTGATCGGGATATTAGTATTTTTTTTTGAGTACCAAAGTCACGCTCTATTTTTTTATCTTTGTTCAATTCAATCCTTTGGCGTTTTGGTCGAGTTGTGCTGTGACCCAGACTCAAAGAAAGAGCTCGCTTCATCCAGAATGAAGCCACGTACTACCTCAGCAGTGAGATGGCGGGCCCATCTTGGCACATATATAATTTCTGACATTCATCATCCTAACTGCATTCTGTTTGGTATATATCCGCCCCATATGATGGTCATCAATCATAACTTCTGGGTAGTCTTGCCAATCCATAAGTATATTGAAGATCAAGGATGGTCACTCCATCACATTTGCTGGCAAGGCGCATTATAAGGAGGAGTCCCATGGCATACCATGGCCAAACCGAAAAGGATCGCCCAGGTGATGATGAAAGAAACTGTGCAAGAAACGATAAGGAATGCAAACTAGATGGGGGGATGATCCAGGAATATCCAGGATAATGGAGAGTGATAGAGGGTGATGATGGATGATGGCTTCCATCCTGCTGTCCTCCAGAGCCAGTAGCTGCACCTGGGGGCCTAGAAGCGGCATATGTTTGGTCGAGGGGTCGAAGTTTGGTCTAGTACAAAAGACTAAACAAAGTATAGTCTTTGAAGCACAGGGTATATATATATAATGAATGAATGAATGAATGATTATTTTCAGTACCTATTCAAAATGGAAAATTTCGCTTGCTACCTTCGATTGCCGGTTTTAAACATACGCCATTTCTAGACAGACCCATCGAATCATTTCGCGAAGTCGCTGAGGTAGCCCACTGCGTTCCTCCAGGCGGCACAACATGGACCGGATGTGTTACCGTTGGTGGTGTCGAAATTGGTTCTTCTTGTTGGTAAATGAAAAAAAACAACAACATTGGTGTTTTAATGGGATTTGATGGAAGTTCAAAGTTGATGGGATTGAGTTGGCTAAGTTATTTTTTAGAACCACATCCAAATATGGTGATCACAACAAAAACCCTGTTTTTATCTATGAAAATCAATCAACCTAGCCAACTATGGGAAACCAGCCTTGTACAAAAAACATGTTACATGTACCATCTTTTGTATAAAATGAGCAGAACTACATAGAACTACCCCATTTCAACGAAGACCCTCTTTGGAATGACTAGAGAAACGTGCGACCAACTTCGGAGGTTCCCGTCAAACAAAAACAATCCGGGAGGATGTGGTGAGATTTTTTTTAAAATGGGGTTCCTAAGTATCTAAGTTCTGTTTGTTGGTTTGTATAGTTTACATATGTTTACCCTCTGGTAATTTAACATAGCTATTGAAAATGGCCATTTATAGTGGATTGGTGATTTTCCATAGTTATGTTAGTTTACCAGAGGGTGTATGTTGCTGGTGACCCCATCGATGTATCCACAAATCCATCCGGTCACGTCATTTCAACCAGCCGAGAATAACCATTCAAGGTGGAGAACCGCGAATCGTGACGCGACCGTTGGTGAAACCAAGATTTGACATTAGACTAACTAGTGACTATAGTAGAAGATATATCTATAATATATCTATAGTAATCTATATATAGTGACATATCTAATGTAACTAGTGACTATAATATATCTATAATATATCTATAGTTTTCTGGCTGAGTGAATATATCTATATAGATATCTATATAGATATCTATGTTCTGGCTCTTAGTTGTGAATATCTCTTTTTGGTATAGCCTATAGTTGTGATAACATACATGAAACCTATAAACCATCCATAGATTCCGCTTGACATCCAATCCGTTTAACGGTGGTGATTCTTAAGCAGCCGTCTCTCCAATGGTCTCCAACACAGAAAATCCCCTAAATCTCCCCAGCTTCTGTATACAAGGTATTCAGCCCAATCATTAGTCAAGATTAGCTAAGTTCTTTGTTCAACCAGATTCATTCATAAACTGCTTAAACTGATTTTCTGCTAGATATATCTCATAATAGACAAAAACATCCAAAAAACGTTCACAACTCGCGAGTTGCCTTCACCAACATCAACTGACATTGGCAAATCACCATCCTCCCATAACCCGATCCCCGTCTGGTGACGGTGCAGTTGGGGCCCGATTTTTCCATTCCCAATCTGTTTCTGGAAAGTCATCATCCATGGCCCATGGTTCCGTTTACCACCAACCAGTGATGATGAATCATTATTAACCATCATTAACCATCATTTTTCATCATTAACCATCATTTTTCATCATTTTTCATCATTAACCGATCATTACCCCATACATTTCACCAATGTTCCCCATCCGCATCCCCATCCCCTGGCCTTCCCATGGTCATGTTCTCAATGAGCCGCAGGATCCTTCGGCGATTTTCCACGGTGACGCCCTGTTTGCCCTTGAGGTACTTCTCCAAGAGCGGCGCCGCCACCTCGTTGCCTCGGCAACGGCATCCCGTTGGGGAGAATGGTGAAGAAATGAGGAAATAAATGATGTGATGAAACATACCCTCTGGTAATTTAACATAGCTATTGAAAATGGCCATTTATAGTGGATTTTTCCATTGAAAATGGTGATTTTCCATAGCTATGCTAGTTTACCAGAGGGTAATTGAAAGATATGGGACATGAGGAAATTCATGGTGAAAAACAAATAAAAAATATGGAAGTAAATGATGAAACATATAGAAACATGATGGAAACATGATGAAAGATGTAGGGATAACGAGATGATCATAGATGATCCTCTTTTCAGATTTTTTCATGAAGTTAGTGAACTATACTTAGTAAACCATGGTAACTATTAGTAAACCATAGTAAAGCACTTACACACCAGTTTTTCCCCTTTTTTCCCTATGGTTTTCCTTACTGGTGCTAAACGCAGGGAATTTTCGGGAATGATCCATTTCATCACAAGTAATGTCATCATCCCAGCAACCCCCAGCAACCCATCCATTCCCTACGTAAAACGCACCAGTAAGTCGATGGTTGGGAAAAAACAAGATACCCTCTGGTAAACGTTTACATAGCTATGGAAAATCACCATTTTTCTAAGGGAAAACTCACTATTTCAATGGCAAACTCTTAGTTTACCAGAGGGTGTATTCCATTAAGTGGATGAACTAATCCCATTCAACACCATGAAATCCCCATTCAATCCCATTAAACATGGCTTTTCCTGTGGTTTTCCTATGCTTTTCCTATGGTTTCCCCATTAAAAAAACGATCGCCATTGGATCGGCCCGGCGACGGAACTCCTTGTCCGCCGGCAGGGTCACGATGATGCCGCCCGCCAGGTCCTGATTTATTTAAGAGTGGTGATAATACCAATAATAGTGGTTAGTAACATATAGATAATCATCAATACTAGGATTATAATAATATAAATGTTGTGATATATATATATATATACCCTCTGGTTATTTAACGTAGCTATGGAAACTCACCATGCTATTAATAGTTAAACCATCTATAAGTGGGCCATTTCCCATGGCTATGTTAAATAATCAGAGGGTATATATATATACATCTGGTTGGTGGTTTCAAGCACTCTGAAAAATATGTCAAGTCAGTTACAGTTGGGGTGATGAAATTCCCAATATGTGGAAAATGTATGATTTATGTCGTGATTGATATGTATAACTGTATCATATATAATATATCATAGCATTTTATGTTCCATAAACATCATTAAACCACTATTTCCATCCATATATCCCACCATATATATATAATATATAATATATATATATGTGTGTGAGTAGTTTTTGTGCGCCATTTGAATATCAATATCCAACGGTCCAACGGTTATCTGCAATGATGTGGGATTTAAGACATGCAAGTCGCCAATCGTAAGATGCTGAAGTGAAGAGTAGCTCCGAAAATTTGATATGAAACAACCCAGCGCTGCAGTGTTGCATGGGTCCGAGTGTTGATCATGAGTTATTTTACGAATATATTTGTGTTCATAGATTTGTAATAATCCCATAGGATCCATGTATGGTATATATGCTAACATTTACCATCAATATACCCCAAATGTTAGCATATATATACCATACATGGATCCTATGGGAATGGATAATGTTACACAGTATGTTTAAGAACATGTTTGTGTCAGTCAGTTTGCTTTTTTATGGACTTCCAAGTTCTGTTGTAAGATCATCGCTGACTGGTAATAAGACTAGCGATCAAGGCATACTAGTGCTGATATGAAATGGCGCATTTGTATATGGGCTATTTATCCCAGAATTTCCCCTGAATGATGATAGTGATGTATATGTTGCTCATGATTAGTCATGTTGCTATAAATAGCATTAAAATGTCATCGGTTGAATATGCATAGATAACATACAATTAATAAACTGCTTCAAATCCACATAAAATATCTTTGCAACTTCACTTCACAGCGGCCTGTGCCAAGCGCGCAATCTCATAAGGCAGTTTGGTCACATTGTGTTTGCCTCTGGCCGCTGTGGACTTCAACAGCCGAATACATTCTTTGTGCGAAAAAACTTAAGGGTTATTTGGTCCCAGGGTAGAACCGGGGCGAAAACTTATGGGTTATTTAAACAGGGGAAAAAAGGGGACAGGAATTGATCATGATTGATTATATGAATCATTAATATTATGATTAATGTTATGATTAATATTGGTATCATAATATTAATGGTTATATTAATCATGATAGGGTTTATGATATTAATGATTATGCTTATGATTAATATTGGTATCATGATTATATAACTCTAATTATTAATCTTCACATGTGACATTTGGCACCGGCGGTGTGCGCCAAGAGTGCTACCACTATAACTTCCTGTTCGTGGTAGCCTTGGCGTATATGCTATGGTACCCAGCAGTGGTCCCTCACCCAAGGAGCTTCACAACATTGGACGTCTCAATGCTCGTTGCTTCATTGCTTCCATAATTGGAGGCACAGTCATGTTGACTTACGATACCATACCATACATGTATGGACCTTAACATATATAAATGGGATTACAACTCCTTCAACTAAGGCTGTAATATGTATAACTCATATGGTTTTGTTTGTTTCGCCACTGTTATGGGCCGCTTTTCTGCACCCATTCAAACGGTGTTAAAGACACCGAGTTGTTGGACGAAAAGCACGTTTCGCCACTTGGTCAAGGGGCAAATGTTCGCCATCCTCAGCCGTGTAAAAAGCCAGGAATGCCCTGGTCTTCACAAAATAGCTGGGGTTTGTGGATCCAAATATTCTCAGCAAACCCGGGGACCCTTGCCGCATAATGTTGAAGTTTCATGAAGTTTCCACAACATTCCAGGACCTCTACTGGCTCAAAAAAACCTCCACTGCGCCAGGCTTTTTTCTGGGAACCAATCATCCCAAGTTTCGAAAGTTTTAAGGGAGATGCAATCCATAAACCGGGCCCCACCAACCATCCCATAATCATCCATTAACCATCCCATAATCATGATTCTTTCCTATAACCATAAACCATCCATAAACCAATAACTATCCATTGATCCCAAGTCCCATCCATACCATACCATCCATTGATTCTGGTGATGGATTTTTATCACCATCCCACCATACCCTTTTTTGGCGTACATGTAGCCACTGAATGGCTGGGAAGGGATGGGAATGGCATAGCCAACCCGATTTTTATCAGATTCATCTGGGACCAAAGCCTGCTGAAATCCCACTGTGTTCAACTGGTTCATTCCCATCAATCCTCTGCCGAAACCATGAGACCTGCTTCGCTGCACCAGAGTTTTGGTGAATGCACCAGAGTTGATGAAATTCACCAGTTGTTTGTTTGGCTCATCAGTTCACCAAATCTCTCAGTTGTTTCACATACCCTCTGGTAATTTGTTACAGTTCGCTATGGGAAATGGCCAGTCGAAATAGTTGATTTACCCATGAAAAATGGTGGTTTCCCATAGTTATGGAGCAGTTTACCAGAGGGTATCTCCGTTCCAAATCGAGATTTCCAAAGAATCACCCACCATTTTCCCCATTTTCCCAAATTTCACCAGGTCCCCTGCGTCCCCGTCCCCACCAAGCGTCATCACGTCCGGCAGGAAGTTCCCAGAGGGTGTGGCCTGGCCACCATACGACGAGGCCATGGCGGTGCCGGCGATGTTTTCGTTGAGGTAAGCGATCTCCACCAACTTGTCCTGCCACGAAATCGCTTCTTTTCCAAGCATCAAAAATGGTGGCAATTTTAACCACCATTTCCATGAGGTCAATTATATATATATTGTATATATGTATGAATATATACAGTATATATATATACATTATTATGTATATACATAAATAAATAAATATATATATATATATTTAAATAAACATTTGTATATATGGCAAAAAAATGATGATCTCCCTCAAGTTCGCTTGGCGAAACCTTCGCCACGTCCTTGATATGTGACGCCTTCGCCACGCCGTTGTACTCCGCCACCGTGGCGGCAGCACCGAGCATCACGTCGCCCAGCCCGGCCTTGCAGACGTAGGAACCTCCGGTGCCCGGCGCTGCCCGGTCCTTTCTTTGCTGATCAAAATATCCCAAATTCAAAATATCCCAAAATAGATTAGCTAAACAGGCTTGAATTTCAAAATATCCCAACATATCCCAGTTGTGTATTCAATTTAATTTGCGTTTTAACAGGAACTTAAATCAAAGGTTTGACCTGCTTTAGCTATATGTTTAACTCCATGTTTTTTTCCATTTTGAAACAACTATACCCAGCGCATCCAAAGGCTAGCTTACACCTAGGCGTTGTGATTGGGTGAGTTTTTCCATGTCCGTTGAAGTTCGGGGATATATATAGTTAAACCATGTTAAACCTATAGTTATATATATATAATGTTAACCAGTTATATCTTTTATATAAAACATATTTAAATAATATATGTTATATATATATGTTATATATGTTAAACGTGTTATATATGTTATAAATGTTATATATGTTATATATATATATATGTTGTATATCTTATAAATGTTATATATGCTATCTCTAGATCATACATACTGTAGCGAGCATGCTGCTGATTTTCCATGCGTGAGACTTCACTGTGTATTTTCTGCATGTAAAACATGTCTTGACTATGTTTGGTCTGTGAATGTATTCATGCTCTCTGTTTGAGCAATTTTGCCTGCCCAAGTTTCCCTTCCTTCTTTGGTTGAAGTTGTTGGTTTGTTGCACAATTGAATAAGATCGCCAAGCAGACCGCTGAATGAAGATCATCTCTAAACGTCCTTGTTTAATTATGCAACAAACCAACAACTTCAACCAAAGAAGGAAGGGAAACTTGGGCAGGCAAAATTGCTCAAACAGAGAGCATGAATACATTCACAGACCAAACGTAGTCAAGACATGTTTTACATGCAGAAGATACACAGTGAAGTCTCACGCATGGAAAATCAGCAGCATGCTCGCTACAGTATATGGGGGGGGAGAGGGGGGGTGGCAGGGCCTGGTGCATATATACACAGCTATAGTTGCTAGAAATTTCCAGGGTCCATCCCTAACTTTTCCATCCTTGCCAAGGGCACGGCGGTGGTACGCGGTGAAACGCTCCACCAAGGTCTGGGTGAAGTCCACCTCGCCGTCCATGAAGACGTACCTCGCCGTCCAGGATCGGCGAGAAGGGAACGCTTGTGGAAAGCGAAAAAATGGCAGTTTGTTTTTGGGGAAAAATCTTTGATGGCAGTTTTTGTTGGTAGATGTTTTTCGAAAAAAAAGTTGATGTGACAAAATGGTGTTTTTTTTTCCGGATGTTATTGGGATTTAAAAGTGATTTGATAGTAATTTACTTGGATTTAATGGTGATTGAATGGATGATTGAATGGATGATTGAATGGGTGAATGAATGGATGATTGAATGGATGATTGAATGGATATGATTGCAGATCGTTTTTTTTTGTATGGGATATCATATTGATTGTATGATATTTTATGATGATATGGGGATAACTATATATATATGAGATAACCATGGTTATCAAGGTGGTACCCCAGCCAATCGAGTTGTGTTTACCTAGCTTGGTGCACTAAAAAAAGTGACCCCATCTAACTAGTTCGATATCTGTCATTAAATGCACCCTATTTGATCTAGTCAATGGTGATTTAACTATCAAACATATAGGGAGATCTTGTGGGATATGAATATGGGGATATAATTGGATAAGCAACTACATCCTATTTCCCGTTTTTATAATGTAGAATTCCATGGAACAAAAACTGGGAATGGAGCCATGGTCACATGGCTACAAATTTACTAAGTGGGGGACCCCAATTAAAACGGAAAACGATGAGAAAGTAAGATTTTTAGTAAGCTACCAAACCAAAGAGTGCGAAAAATATCATGTGCTTGGGAAATAGCTCCCAACGAATAATCCCAAGTAGGAAATTTCCATAGCCAGAGCGAGCCATAGCTCCGAAACGCGCTTCCTGCGGTTTCCTCTGATCTTCCCACAAAACATGGTGACGCCTGCCATTCATTCACCGACCAAGGCACTCAGGTGGGACATAGACATCCTCGAAGCAGGTCAAAGTTTCCTGGCAACGTGGGACTAGGACCGATGACTGGAAGGAATGAAAATGGATTTCAACATCGGACTTAACACATTACGATTTCATAGCAAAATTGTGTTTCAGTTAGCTACATTGATTTATTTCACAAACAGTGAGCTATGGTAGATATAATTGACATAGTTTTATGAATATGGCACCGCCATATAGTTTCATAGGGTACGAGTAACATTGAATTATCCATGGTGCATCCATGAATTCCTTTGCATGTTTATCCCATGGATTAGCCTTGGGATTTCATGTCAAAAATCTATGAACATTGAATCATCTAGGATATCAGTAGGGAGTTTCAGTAGAATGATTATGTATCAATGTAGTATCCCAAATGATGATACATATCAACATGTATCAATGTAATATATATATATACCAAATGATAAATATCAACATTAAATCTATCCCATTTTCAGTAGATGTAAATTTCATCATTTGGGATGTTTATCGCCTTCAGAGTCATCCCAGGCTCAAAAAAAGGGGATGGACACCATCCCAGCACGTAACGGATGATAAGACCGTCACATGTCCTCTCCAACCATAGACTGAAACATGATGAAATATGGGGAATTGACCCCAATTCAATGAGATTTCCACCATTCACTCAGTCAAACATGCAGATCAGCATAAGATATGTTGAGAAACAGAAGTCAAAGATAAAGGCAAGTTACTCCGGAAACTGTTTTTTTATTCACAAATGCACATAATACTTAATCTGGTTGGTGGTGCAATAACCATCTTGAAAATATGAAAGTCAATGGGAAGGATTATCCCTTCATATGAAATGGAAAATAAAAGTCATATTCCAAACCACCAACCAGTGATTATTAACAATGATTAACCATGATTAACCAACATTAACCATCATTACCCCATACTAAATGTTTGAAACCACCAACCAGATCACTGTAGAAAGTGATTTATAGTGATTTATAGTGATTATTATTCCATTATACACTGGTCGGTTGAACGTTGCTTGGTTCACATTAGGACCATCAACCAGTTTTAATGGTGATGTCATCTATCCCTAATGATAAACACTGGAACACTCTATCCATCTCTATCCTATTTTTCACTATATTTGGGAGATGGTTTCTATAATTTATGTAGTGAAAAACCACCAGGATATGTCAAAAACCATGCTGACTTTATGGGACCGACATATACCGACATTCCTCCAATTCGTAAAAAATCGCAAGAAGTTCCCGGGAGAGGACAAGTGACTGACTTTCAAGTGACTGACCTCTGGTAATTTATGGCCATGTTTAATGGGATTTAATGGGGGTTTAATGGGATTTAATGGGTATTTAATGGGATTTAATGGGGATTTAATGGGTATTTAATGGGATTTAAAATGGGTATTTAATGGGTATTTAATGGGATTTAATGGGTATTTAGTGGGGGTTTAATGGGATTTAATGGGGATTTAATAGGGATTTAATGGGATTTAATGGGTATTTAATGGGTATTTAATGGGATTTAATGGGGGTTTAATGAGTATTTAATGGGATTTAATGGGGATTTGGTTAATGGGATTTAATGGGTATTTAATGGGTATTTAATGGGTATTTAATGGTGATTTAATGGGGATTTAATGGGATTTAATGGGTATTTAATGGGTATCTAATGGGATTTAATGGGTATTTAATGGGTATCTAATGGGATTTAATGGGGATTTAATGGGATTTAATGGGATTTAATTGGTATTTAATGGGATTTAATGGGATTTAATGGGGATTTAATGGGATTTAATGGTGATTTAACGGGGTTTAATGGGATTTAATGGGGATTTAATGGGATTTAATGGGGATTTAATAGGGATTTAATGGGGTTTAATTGTTTTTTTCATCCACTTAATGGGATATACCCTCTGGTAATTTGTCACATAACTATGAAAAATCACCAAAGAAAGAAAGATTTATTTCCATGAAAAATTGTGATGTTCCATAGTTATGTTAGTTTACCAGAGGGTACCTCTTACTAACTATACTGGTTGCTGGTTAAGCCACCCCTCTGAAAAATAGGACAAATCGTCAGTTGGGATGATGACATTCCCAAATTTCCCAATATGATGGGAAAGTCATAATCCACCAACCAATGATTATTAACCATTCACCATCATTAACCATCATGAAACCCCATACTAAAGTCATAAAAGTCATGTTCCAGTCAGCACCAACCAGGCCTGTACCTCTTAGTTTCATAGTAAGTCATCCCATTGAAACTGGTAAGCTATGTGGCTAGGACGCTAGGACATCTCAGGACGCTGGACTGATGAAGACATGAAAAAAAACAACAGGACCATTCCGGAAAACCATGGAACATCATGGGATTTATAATGATTTAATGGAATTTTATAGTGATTCAATGGGATATTAATGGGATATACCCTCTGGTAAACTAACAGAACTATGGAAAGATCCACCATTTTCAATCGGTAAACCCACTATAAATTCCCATTTTCAATAGCTATTTTGACATAACCAGAGGTTATAATTATATATTCCATTGAGTGGATCCTATTAAATCCCATTGAATCCCCATTAAATCCCATTAAAACCGGGGGCCTTCTCAACATCTCCAGCCAAAAAGTCGCCCCACCTGTCCACCGAACTTGGCGTTTCCTTGATCGATGTCTCCTGCGAATGTTACCCCAAAAAATGGGGAATGTTTAAGTTGGGATTTGTAAAAAGTGGTGCCCCCCAGTGATGTTTGTTGGTTTATAAACCCCATTACCCTCTGGTAAACTAACATAGCTATGGAAAATCACAAATTTTAATGGGAAAATCCACTATTAATGGCCATTTTCAATAGCTACGTTAAATTACCAGAGGGTAACTGTAGTTATATCTACTATAAACCATAGAATTCAGCCGCTTATATCTACTATTTAGACCATAGTAAATATATGGGGAATATATTCCCATAATGGGAATGTTTGTAAATGATGAAATAGATAAAAATAATGACTGGTTGGTGGTTTCAACCCACCCCTCTGAAACATCATGGAGTTCGTCAGTTGGGATGATTCTTCCCAACTGAATGGAAAGTCATAAAATTCCATGGTTCCACACCACCAACCAGATGAAATCATGGGGATCTTGTAAATAATGGGGAATCATATATCTATGTATCATTATATGGGATTGAGATCCCAGAGGTAAAAGATATGGTAAATCATCCACATATAATGGATCTCGTGGAAAATATACCTGCAATCATGGTAAATCATGAGGATATTTCATAAGGATATTTGGGGATATTTCATGGGGATATCCGCTCGAATCTTCAAATTAAGTCACGCAACTAGCTCTAGATTCTAAAGCAACAGAAGAACTTTATGTATCCACCAACAAAACATATATGACACTATATGGTGAATCTATGTTTGTGGCCCAACAGAATCAATACATGGGAATATGAATGATATCACCAAAAACATCGAAGAACCCGAAAAAACGAACGTAACTATTTGGGATGACCTGATCACTTGTGAAGTGAACCCAGCGCGTGATTTTTGGTGCGACTCCCATTTTGGAGTTCACCTGTTTTCAGAACGGCTTGCATGATTTCGTGGTGTTGCCTTTCCACAACTTTCCTATCATGTGCTGGAAACTCTCAGTAGTTTTTTGGTTTGATTTGAATCCAGAATAACCACACATTACCACCACACATAGATACAGGAGCAGTGTCAAAACTCTGTCATATTCTCTCATATTCGATTGTATTGGTTAGGAAGGCGATTTCCATATTGGAATACTTCAATCCCCACATATCACCGGTATCACAAAAATTAACCCGAAATGGCCAACATCAACCAGAGGTTCTAAAGACTCTGTTCACATATGCTCTAAAATGAAGATTTCTAGTTGACTATATAATACTATACTGGTTAGTGGCATACCTACCCCTCTGAAAAATATGAGTTCTTCAGTTGGGATGATGATTCTTCCCAACTGAATGGAAAGTCATAAAATTCCATGGTTCCAGTCACCACCAATCACATATATGATTAACCATTATTAACAGTATATTAACCACTATTATTGGTATATCATCCCATTATTTCTAGATGATTATCCCATTATATGGATATATACCCTTTGGCCCATTTATAGATGGTGATTTTCTATGGCTATGTTAAATAACCAGATGGTATATATAATCATCCCATTCCTACTGCTTTTCAATCTGCTTCACCTTGATAAATTCCATCAATTATCTCCTTCTGAATATTCCATGATATGTCCATAGAATAGCACCAATACCACCATTTGTTTTTACTGTAAACCATTAATACCACCATGTGTTTTTCTATATAGAATACCACCATTAATACTGGTTATTATCTCCATGATAGCACCATTTTTGTTGCCCAAGTCGTCCAGCGTCCCCTGGCAGTGGCATCTCCTGGCTCCATGGCTCGAAGGTCACAGCTCTGTCGACCGTAGATGTAGGTGAGACCTAAGATGTCGATACGTCACCTGGTAATGACACGTCAAAGTCGGACGCGCGTTTAGCAGCAGCGATGTTTTTCCCAAGCGATTTTACACAGGGATGCTGTAAAAATTGGTGATCTGGGAAAAATCGTGATTTCATGGGACTTTATGCATGTTAATTATGTATCACAAAACTTAGGGAATCCAATTCTGTTCGTGATAAATCATGTTCGTGATAAAACACCAAATTTCATTGGATTCAGAGTCCACATGCGGAGAAAGCTGACCAAATGAGATCACAAAGAAGCGCCGGGGATAAACCATGGTAAACCCATCTAACTATGGAAAGTCATAAAAATCATGGTCCAAACCACCAACCAGAAAAATATATATATATATATCATGTATCATATATATATATCATATATAATTTTGGTGATATGTCAGTATATCAAACAACCATAATTAATAGATAATCACCATTATATATCCATTAATAATAGATGATCATCACCAACCAGTATATATTATATATATATATATATCATTTATATGATATATCATATATAAATACATACCATATACATATATATATATATATCCATTAAACCCCAAGTATTACGCCGTTCTTTCCACCAGCTCCTGGACCCAAAGTACAGCACAGGAACCGGGAGCGTCCACCGGCACAGCACAGGCGATGGCGTAGTCCTCCATGGACAGCAACAGACACACTGTGGGGCCCCCCAGTTTGGTTACTGTTGGTTTATAAACCCCATGGTTATATGTTTATATATGGTTATATGGTTATATGGTTGGTTATATGGTTGTATATGGTTATATGGTTATATGGTTGGTTATATGGTTGGTTATATGGTTGGTTTCTAGCTTATAGGTGATATATCTATTGCTGGTTGGTGGTTAAAAAACATCTTGAAAAATATGAAAGTCAATGGGAAATGATGGGAAGGATTATCCCATATATGATGGAAAAATAAAACATGTTTGAACCCACCAACCAGTTATAAGATGTTATCCAGTTGTAATTTGGTTTATAAACACTATGAACAGCATACTTATAAGATTATAAGATGGTCTTTTTGTATCGTAAACCATAGCAAAATTGGAGTTATGTTCACCAACTTAGCTATCGTTTGGGGGCCCCACATTGTAAGCATCAGCAACTGGGGATTTAAGAAACAAACAACACCAATCAAACTGCTCAAAAAATTGGCATTCACTTAAGTGTATGTTTGAGTGTTTACATGTGTTTTTTGTTTTATGCTGAAAAAAACATAAGGAGTGATTGAGGATTCAAGATATCAAACAGACTTCAAAGTATTGTAACAATAAAAAGCTGGAACCAGCATATATTCCCAAATAGTATTGTTGGATAGAAATTCCCAAAACCATCAACGGCAAAGTACATACTGTCGCTCTTCGTTTAGGGACACAATTTACCACTGCAACTCATTGGTTTACGACCGAAACCTCAACGCATTGGCTTTTGTTGGGAACATCTGCAAACCGGAAACCATGGGTTTTTCCCCAGTTTATTACCATGAAATATTGGGGGGTTCCTGTACTTTTGCCTGTAAGAAATTTCCCTTCAAGAAATCAAAGGATGTCCGCGGGTCCGTCAAACATCATCTGAATTAGCCTGGACAGTGCGCATCTCTCGTATCTTGCTGTGCATCTGGGCGGTTTTTCGCAAGCCCTCTGAACAATATTAATATGAGTTCGTCAATGGGAAGGATGACATCTTTTTTTATGAAATGGAAACCACCAATCAATCATGGTATTTATCACATATTTCTAGGGGAATGAGAATCAATGATAATCATCAAACGCAATGATGCTGCATAACTGCATAAACAATTCCCCTTGACTCCATTCACCAAGCATCTCTCACCATCCATGCATCATTAACCATTTATTCCATATATGTTTTCAACCCTAAACCCAAAACTCACCAAGCTTCAACCATATCTTCATCAAATTTTCCACCCTCTTTCACCAAGCATTCGCCAACACACCCGGTGCCTTGTCGGCCTTTTCCATCTTCCCACCGGGCATGATGATCATCCAGTGGGAGTTCAGATTACCAGTCCTAGGCGACCATTGAACGAATGGGCGAGATTGGAATGTCTTCATTTAGACATTGGGTGTTTTTTTACTTGTAAAAAAACGTGAACACATATGTTTAAGTGATTCATGTGAGTCAGAAAATATGTTTTAGTGATTCATATGACATTTCTTCATATTTCTGCATATTGGATAATTAATAGGATTCATATTTCAAACATATTTGATAATGAATAGTAGGTGGGTTACACTCATAGAAGACCTCCATTTCTGTGAAACCAAACTCGTTTTCAGGGGAAAAATGGCAAAAACACATCTCAAAATCCCTGGGGCAATGGTCCGCCTGTCAGTGGGGTCATACCCTCCTGTAAAATAACATAGATGTTCAAGACACATGTGTAGATCATGTGTTTTTTTCTAGGGAAACCATGGGTTTTGCAGATGTAAACGCTTACCCTTAGGGTAATTTTAAGTAATCGATTGGCGAACTCACTCTTCTCAGTTGACAATGACCATTGTAAACCCCATCAGATCCTTCGTTTGATCGTGAAATCTGTATATGTTTGATCGTGAAATCCCAAATGCTAAATGCCAATCCTTCCTGGCAGCACATTTCATCACATTTCTTGCTGCTAGCATCTTGCTCAACGGTTCAAAATTGCAAACAAAAAACACAACAACATTCCGACCGGAAATTCCGTAAAATCCAATCACATCGCATTCATATCATCAACAGAAAAAAAAATCAATGATAATCCCGTCACATCCCATGAACTCCCATTCAAAGATATTCAAAGTCTCCAAGTCACATCCATCAAAACTACACTGGTTGGTGGTTTTTCACCACCCCTCTGAAAAATATGAGTTCGTCAGTTGGGACGATGAAATTCCCAATATATGCAAAAATAGAATTCCATGGTTCCAAACCACCAACCAGAAGATGTTATAAGTATGGTAAACCATAGTTAGAGCTAGAAACCAACATAGTGATATCTTTTTGTATCGTAAACCATAGCGAAATTGGAGTTATGTTATAACGTTCCCAACCACCAACCAGTGATGGTTAACCATTATTAACCATCATTAACCACTATTATTGGTATATCATCCCATTATTTCTAGATGATTATCCAATGAAAAAAAACATATAATACCCACCATCATTAACAAAAATCCATCTGGGTAAATTATAATATGTTATATAATAGGTACCCAATATTATATGATAATAGGTACCACTAACCCATCATAATAACCATTAATATAATCATAATACCCATATAGTAACCATATATTGACCATCATTAACCATCATTATCCCATACTAACTATCATTATCCCATACTAATAGGGAATATTAAGCATAAACCATCATTAACCACCATTAACCGTCATTATTAACCACCATCATTTCACAAAAAAAAATCAATGAAATCGCCAGGTTTGATCCCACCATCGTCCGCGCCGAGTTGCTGGTGCGCCTTGCAGCCCCGCAGCACCACGCCGCCGTCGGGCTTGCGTTCCGCCACGCGGACGAACATGTCTGGGTCCTGGCAACAAAAACTGGCATCATACATGGCTTAATATGGGTTAATATGGGTGAATAATCGCAAATACATGGTTAATACAGTGTTATAATATATATATATATGAATGAATATGGCTTAATATGGTTTAATATGGGTTAATATGGCTTAATAATCGTCAATCGTAAATAGATGGTTAATACATGGTTACTGTAATAACACTATATATATATTACGTTATGTTATATTACATTATATAATTAATGGTAAGGATACTCCCCAAAAATGGTGGTTGTTGATGTGGTTTAATAGTGGGTAGTTACATGGCTTCATCAGCACGGGATCGCACTCCGAAAAAACAACGGCTACATATTCCACGAATTGGGGTTGCACCCGCAAGAAGTTACCCTCTTGTTATTTAACATAGCTATGGAAAATCACCATTTTTAATGGGTAAATCCACTATAAATGGCTATTTTTAATAGCTATGTTAGTTTACCAGAGGGTAACTCTGTTTTGTTTATAAAGAAAACCTGCATGAAACCAATGTTGTTTGGTTTTTATTTGGGAGATATCTTGATGATACTGTGGATGGGCCAGCGAAATCCTGCACCACCAAAAGGATGGTTGAAACCCCATAAGTAATGGGATAAACCATCTATCAACTGGTGCAGGATTTCTTAACCATCCACAGTATCACATGATTTCCCTTCCTTCTGGCAGGTGTATATCACCATTGTTTCTGCTTGAAGCTCTGATGAAAATCACTCTGATAAATATCCGGCGAATGAAATAAGCAGCAACCGTCATGCTGCCATCACCAACTGTGCAGCTCAATCACCGAATTTCACCATCCTAAACCAGGCCACAAGGGTTTTGTTCCTCCCCACGGCTTCGCTAAACATTGCCATTTATTGCGACCAATCTGCCGAAGACACCATCGTTTCCAGCCCTAAAGTTTTCCCAAAGCGATAGGTTGTTTCTGCATTTTTCCCTTAAACTACCCTCCAGTAAATTAACATAGAGGATAGGGGTTGGAAGATTAGTTTCCACCAAAAATTGGTGATTTTCAGGGTCTATGTTAATCTACCAGAGGGTAATTCTAGGATCAGCTTCAACAACTATCAGAAGTGCCTGGGGATATGATTAACCAAATTTTGGAATAAACCTCAACCCAGACCCTCCAAGTAACCCAAGAAATATCAAAAAATGAGATGTTTGACAAGTTTAGTTGACACCATGATTTCAATACCATTTTTGCTGTCTACATTGTCTACATTCCTTCTCTACCGGTAAGTCTATGCAGGGGCTAGTGGCACGTCACTTAGTGCCATGATTCAGGAAGCATCTGCTGTGTTATGAGTGTTTTCCTGGGAAAAACCCATGTCCGGCTGCTCGGAAGGGTTCAAGCTGCGGTCGCCTCGTGTTGGACACTTTTGGATCTTGGCATATCTATATTAATGGCACTTATTATTATATAATATATATATATATGTATTATAGATATGATGATTATTGTAGATGATTATTGTCATATCTATATCTATATAAATATAAATATGACACTTGTTGTGTTTCAATGATTATTATATATATATAGTCTTGATTGTCTTTATCTGTGAAATTTCTGCAGTGATTCATAGATCCAGCGTTTTCCAAGACTTGGATTTAGGATGCTTTAGGTCTGGTGATGGGAAACCATTTCTTTTATGGTCATGACGTAATGATTATTTTAGGATATTTTAGGGGGAACTGATGACAAGCCATGGCATTTTGGCTATGGTAGGTGCCTCCCATTTAGGTTCCAGTTGCATGGCCATTGAAGATTGGGGATACAAATTCCATACATCAAGAGGAATAAATCACTTGACTTCCTTATTTGTCATAGTTTCAGACATATCATCTGGTAAACTAACATAGCTATTGAAAATGGCAATCTATAGTTGATTTACCCATTAAAAATGGTGATTTTCCATAGTTATGTTAGTTTACCAGAGGGTAAATCCCCTTAGATCATCTGGAAATATGTATGGTATAATCAAGAGGAAAATTCATGGCCCTTGGGATATCTTGGGCAATTTTCCCTGAACGTCATCTCTGAAAAAATCATCCCAGATTTGGATGAAAGGTTGATCACCAAGAAATTCTTGCATGGCTGATTATTACTATTACTGTTACTACTATTTTTTTTTAAAAAAAATATGTATATAATTACAATGTATATATATATAATTATGTATATATATATGTGTGTATATATGTTTGTTGGTTTGTTGGTTTGTTGGTTTGTTGGTCTGTTGGTTTGTTATAAGTACCATAAACCCCATTAACTATAAACCCCATTAATTATAAACCCCAGTTTTATAGTTATAAGATGTTATAAGTACCATAAACCACAGTTATTGGAGTTATAAACCAACTTAACTATCTAGGGTGCACCACATTGTAGATGCCCATGTTTGTTGAATTTGCCCTGTTCCGTCCCACCGTCATTTGAAAAACCACGAACACCGAGGTGCCCTTCACGTCCGTCATGGCGCCACCCAGAACCAGATTTTTGCTCTGCGCCATCTTCATGAACTCCACGAAGCGCGCATGGTACTTCGTGCCGTGCCTCAGATGCTGGAGATGTCGTATAGGTTTTGGAGGCTGAACAAATGGGAAAAAAGCCGGTGATGTTCAAGAGCTTATAGCTACAGAATGTGTATAGAATAAGAGAATATTATAGGAGATTATAATGTAGCTAATATTGCTTTATATGGGATAGTAGAGCTATACATGTTATTTTCTGGTTGATCCTATATATAAATTGAATTTCCAAACCTTGCCAGCCAGTCTTGGTATTTCCAACACCAAATAGTTAGACAGTTAGACAATATCTTTCTTGGATGAACACCTATTCTTGACTATTCGATCTATTCTGGCTTTGCCATCATATAAATCCATTCCCCCTCATAGAAAAATACCGCTAAATGAAACCCTGGCCTATTAACTTTCTTGAAACTATGCTGAAAATGAATCATCATAAGGGGACTTCATGCGATTCAAGGTCACATGAGATTCATCAGGCTGACCATGAAATGTTGACATAGATTGGCATAGTATACTGGTTGGTGGTTTGAACCCCTCTGAAAAATATGAAAGTAAGTTGGGGTTATTCTTCCCAATATATGGAACAATATAAAAGGTTCCAAACCACCAACCAGTATATACAGTGCAATCTTTGGTACAAGCTGGTGCCCCCCTACTTCGCTAAGTTGGTTTAGAAGTAGGCTAGGATTTGAGGGGCAAATCTATATATATATATACCATTAGAAGTTGTAAACCAACAGTTATACATCCTGGAGGGCACCAGATTTTTAAATCTCCAGGTTATTCTACATCCCATCAACCCATCAAAGCGGGACATCGCCAGGAAGCTTCTGGTCGATGTCATAGGTGGTGGACCACATAGCCTCGTTGGAGCTATATCTGAAAAGGTGATAAAAGGTGGATACACTTATGGCCATTTACCAGTTATAACTGGTTATTTCTATGGGATTATACATTCTATAAATTGGGTTTTGTTAGTACTTATAACTGATTAACTGTAGATGTGGTCAGTGGATAGGGTAGGGGTGAACTCACGTGGAAAAGCTTCAGCTGATGGCACTCAGCTCAAGGATCAATTGGGGTCACTTGGGGTGGTCACTTGACTTGTGGTCACTGATGTTCAGAGCATAGCACCTCAACGGTCAGTGAATGAAGGATGTAAGTTGGGTAGCCTATTCATGGATGGATTTTTCGCTACATAAGTGGCACTTCTATTGGCATGTCAAATGGTTTTACAACTGTTTGCAACATTGAGTAAGCCTTGGGCGGTCCAGTCACCCTTGACTTCCAGAAAAAAAACACAGATGTTCAAGCATGGAACCTATTGAAGGGCCAAAGCCTTTGGGATTGGAATGTCATCTGCCGCATTGTCGTCCTACATTTATCCAGATTTTGCCACGCAAAACTGCAGATTTACGGTGGGGATTCAAACATCAACAAAAACACAGATCTGGGCATTATTAAGGATTATTAGCAATTACTAGTGATAATCATTATTCATAATTTTCCCTAATAATTATAATAATCCCTAAGAGTGATTTGAACTCAACCATCAGCATCAACAGTCAGCATGTGATACCTCCAAAGGATTGGCACATCGTCTGTTCGCCCAAACACATTGGAAGCGTCTTGACCAACGCAGCGCTGGAAACAAGTGCCTCGTGCGTGCTCAGATGCACGTACAGACTAAATCTTGACACAGCTGAAAACACACATATTTTGTAAACACATAAACATCTTACACTGGTTGGTGGCTGGAATCCCTCTGAAAAAATTGAGTTCGTCAGATTGCATCATCATCCCAGCTATTGGGGAAAACAAACATTTCCATGGTTCCAAACCACCAATCAGATATATATATATATACAGTATATAATCAGTGATTATTAACCATTATTAACCATTATTAACCATCATTAACCATGGGTTTATGGCAATAGATGGTCGAGAAATTGTAATCAGATCCATGAACCATTCATGATGTCATTGCACTTGTCATTGTTTGCCCTTTGGATGATGTGGGATTTCTAGTGGTCAAAAACCTCACCAGAATTATGACATAACCATAATTTATAGTAGTTATATGATATTATAATACTGATAATTATAATATAGATTTAGATTATGTTATTAAACATACTTCACCAGAATTATAGAAAGATTGTAGTGCGTATACCTAACCACTCAGCTTTACATATAGTGGTTACAACTACAGTCATAATATATAGATTGGCTCAAGACCGAACTATTGGAACCCCCAAAAAGATAGAATCCTGTTTCCAGGATGGTATAGATGTGTTTTTCCTACCTTTTTTGGGGGTTGCTATAATAATATAACAGGGGGATGCTTTGCACCACATATGCTCATAAATGAGTTTTTTTCGCTTGTAAGCTGGGAAAAGGTCTCTCTTACCATAGTTAAATTACCAGAGGGTATATCCCATTATCACCCCACTATTCACCATTGCTAACCCATTGTTAACCCCTTAAATCACCATTAAATCACCATACATCACCATTAAATCTGGGTAAATTATAATCATTCACCAACCTGAATCTTGCGGCCATTTGGGGATGATTTCCCTAAAATAAACCATGATTTCCATTGATTTCCAGTGAGGGAGAACAGTGAGGTCGTGATGAAATTTACCCAGATTAAATCACCATTAACCATTCATCAAACTCAAACACCGAGATGGAGAATCGGATCGCTAAAGGAGGCGCCTGTGCGACGTCCCAGCTCTCGTTGCATCTGCGATTGCATCACCAAGTCATCCGCGGATTCGCAGATATGAAGAAATCTGACGGCGTTGCGGGCCACCATGAGTTCGATTCATTCATCTAGTTGTTTATCACCAAAAACGGGAAAATCAACCAATGGATGTATTATAATCGAGTCATGATTGTTTAAAAATTTCGTTTATGATATGGTTTATCGCTATACAATGACCATTTGACGTATGGTGAATAAATTGACATAGCTGGATGAGCACACAAAAACCAAGCAACATAGGCTCCAAAGTCCTCATACTTCACCAGCTTTGTCCATTTCTCGATAATTTTCACCAATTTTCATCAAGGAAAAACATGACACCAATAATGTCCTTTTGGCAAAAATAGAGGGGCTTGTTTGGTATACCATCATATACCATCTATCATCATAGAAACCTGTTGTTAAAGGGGTTTCTTCAAACCCCCGTATACTAATCAACCAACCAATGGGGAAAGGACATCTATGACTTACACCATCATCTTTGAATCCGATAATATCAGCTAAATAAACATATCACTAATGAATCATGAATACTAATGACTTACACCATCATCAACTAAATAAACATATTGTGACTTCGATCGTCTTTGTGTCACTTTCCAGAAGTTCCATGCAACTTTCACCATAAATTCACCAACACATTGCTTTGTTCATCACATCCACAGAATTGGAAGCTTTCATCATATGCAGTTATAGATAGTTATAGGACTTGCCAGTTTTCCTGTCAATGCCTCGTCTTCTCTGAACGAAAAGAAACCGCTCTCATCTTGTTCAATGTTTTGCGGAAACACGCATTCTTGAAAGCCTTCAGGAAGGCTTTCGAAATTCATCCAATCATACCTGGAAACAACGTCTTCTAAGCGAATTGATTTCAGTTTGTTCCGAAATGCTGAAGGGCTCTTCACCAAAGAAATGAATACAAGAGACAGGCCAATGCTTGCTTCCTCAACTTCGTTGATCATGTCCATATAGCGCTTCAGTGACCACCAGTCATCGAAGTGGACAAATCATGGACAAGTGCGTACAAATCTCTAAGATCTGCAGCACACGCACACGTCTTTCGAAAAGACGAGGAACCAAACTGCTGGTTGAACCGGCATTTTAACCGTACTTTTGCAATTTTTTTTTTGCGTGGTAAAACAATGACAACCCAACTTTTCTGGACAGGCAGCTGGCAAAACTTCAAAATTGATAAGTAACTTTGTAAGCCCTGTATGGCAAAAAAGTGATACATAGGCTCCAAATTGCAGCTTTTGCCAAACAAGAACTTGGCGTAGAAACATCAGTTGGAAAGACACCACTTTGCTGACAGTAGGTATTAGGTATACATATATATATGTGTGTATACACATATTATACATGTCTTTGGTTTGATAGTGATATATCCTGAAAGTGTGAATATGACAGGGAATCATGATTGGTATCGTGGATCCATGTGGAAATGGTTCTTGGATATCACATGATTGAAATTGTGCAACTTGATTGGCCTTGTAGAAGAATGACTTGTATGGAATTCATATACTGGTTGGTGGTTTCAACCCGTCTGAAAAATATGAAAGTCAATTGGGATGATTATTCCCAATACATGAAAAAAACATGTTCCAAACCACCAATCAGACACAATCTCATCATGGTTTGGAATAAATTAGAACAATTCACTGACCTGAAAAGTCTGTCATGCCAGCCCCCCGCAGCTGCCAAGTGCGGACATGTTCAGGGTCCTGAAATAAAAGAAACGTACCACAGACCTTCAAAGAAGTGAGATGGGCGCGCTTTTTTGGAATAGTGAGGTCGCAGAGAGGTTGACCTCAAATTCACCCAGATATGATCCCATGATATCCCATGATTTATGATTTCCGCTATTATCACCATTACTAGCACTCTTATGATTCCACTATTGCTGATTAAATGCCATTGTATATCCTGATGTGATTAAATGTTAAATCCCATTGCTGATTAAATCAGGATATACAATGGGACTTACTATGTATTACTAGAACTATTGCTGATTCCACATATTTCTGTATTTGTGAAAATGTTTGTTCTGTGACATGAACCTGTATAGAGTTGTCCCCTCTCTGGATGCAATGAGTGCCATGGAGACACAAAAACATCTCAGGCAGGCGCTTCAAGGATGTGAGAACGTAACAAATGGCAACCCAGAAATGGTATCTTAAAAAATACGGTTGCTATTCATTTCAATCTGATTCTTGGTGGTTCCAGCTGTGTAAATCGTTGCAAGCTTAATCATAGATCATGTGCCAAAAATAAATCACTAGTCTATGCTATCATTAGAATTCCAACACACACATATGCATCACAAATCGGTGAACATAAATAATTCTGAAAATTTGTAATTTCATATGTGATTCGAAGGTTGGGCCGGAGGCCCCATAGCAGCTGCGTTGGCCAAAATTGAAGTGATGTCATTATTCGGGATCATCATCGGTGGTAAATAGCTTAAGCTAATATGATATATAGAGCACCGCTACTATGGTCACACATTGTCAACTACTACGAAGTGTTCAGTAAACAATCGCAAACACTATAGTTAACTTTACTTGGTATTATTATCATGTGGTAAATCTATTATTATATAGTGGTATCTATAGTTAACCACTAATATCATGAAAAATCGATGAGTAACTGATATGAGCCAGCATTTTTTTTATTGTGCATCCATCTACCCTCCGGTGTCATCATTGCCGTGGTTCTTCCGAAACAATCGTTCCATCAATCCGATCGATATCCCGGCATGTTTCCATCAAATCACCATAAAAAAAACAACCACTCAATCACCACTAAGTCCTACTAAATCCCATTGAATCACCATTGAATAGTAACACCATGAAAAATCACCATTGTTTATCCCACTAGTTATAACCACTCAATCACCATTGAAAAGTAACACCATCACCATGTCCCAACAGATAAACCAGAAAAAAATCGACCAACTTCGGGACCTGCTCATGCGATAGCCACCTCAGTGTGGCTATGATCCCAAGACGAACACATGTTTTTCTTTTGTACCATTTTTCAAACCAGCTTTGTGAGGCTTATTTCATGTTATTTCCGGGTTTTGCTAGGTATATACCAACCACTTTCCGGGTATTTCCCATATTTTCAATCAAAACATTGGTAGATTTTCCAGATGTTTCAAGGGATTATTTTCAGCAACTGATCAGGTTTCAAGGGTCATCCCATTGGTTCTGTTGGGAGTTTTCTCCAGCGCGTCGCTGAACTGTTGGTTCATCATCAAACAATCCATGTTGGAATTATGTAGAACATGTTTGGCAAAACTATCGTCTTCTTTTTTTTGAATCCATTTTTTGATAAAGAAGCACTTGTTGGAATCATCATCCCATCAATGGTGGTAGATACGAGATCATCGCTGTTGGATAAACATTGTGGGCATCTCTGCAATGAGATGGGCATGAAACACATATCATTTGGGGGTTGCCCACATTGTATAATATCTTCCAGCGTTCATGTGAAACACCTGTTCAGAAACATGGAGGTTTCCTGAAATGGATGTACCCCTGGTTATCATCCATTATAGATTGGGATTTTCCATGAAATAAACGAACCAGCTATTGGGGTACCCCCTTGACTATGGAACCCCCCCATATACTTTATACATCTTTAGGACCATTGAGGGGGCAGATCCCTTGAGAAAAAGCAATGGTTTCTGGGTGCTGATGGGGAAAGGGATTCAAACAGAGCTACTGATAGGACATTGTCACCCACATGATCAACCTAACAAATATGTATATAGGATGATACTGTAATCGCATGCAGGATACCTTGATGACACCGTATGTAGTGTTTTTCATTACACACTTAAATAATATAAGCATAAATTGGTTTGTAAACCCCATAAAATAACACCATTGAATATCCCCAATTTGATTCCCATACGCCATTGATCCCCTATTATTATTCCCAATATATTCAATCATGTAGGTAAATGGATGATAGATTGATGGTAGGTATATTCCATATCATCCATCCGATAGGCAAAATACCATAGTATGGAATGATAGTGGCTACTATTCCTTGATTTTCCTATCGGATGATAGTAGGCAATCCTATTATTCTATATTCATCCGATAGGCAAATAAGTGGTTATCATAGAATATAGTGGCTAATATAGTGGTTATTATACTGGCTATAATCATTCTAATATCATCCGATAGGCAATCCTACTATAGCCACCCACTATAAGTATTATAATTATAACCAGTATAATTTATACTGGTTATAATACTAGAAGTAATTCTAAAAGATATTAGATGGTAATATATTAGAATATCTATAATCCATATAGAATGATATTCTATAGAATTCATCCACTATATAATAGAGTAATTAATTATCTATAAAAATCCATCTATAGATACTAATTATATACTTATTTATAGAATTACTTATGTATGATACTAATTATTATCATCCATAGTATCTATGGATTATATACTTATAGAATGAGACTGATTACTTATATACTAATATCATCCATCTAATATCTATAAGTTGATGATGCCACCAAGGTGCTGAAGCCAACGGCGCTGCCCAGCTCGGGATTCTCCATGGCCAGGCGGTAGCTCTCCGCCATGGCGTTCACCGAGGGCCACACCTACCGCGGAACGTGTGACGTTATGGCGCGGTACGGCCCGGTGCTGAGAAAATGCTGGGAAACACCAGGGAAAATGGAGGTTGTATGGTGACTTCATGGATTTTACCGTGAAACATGGAGGATTTCTAGAATGATTTAAGATGAGTTCAGCAAGACACATGGTCATTTAAGCGATCAGAAATGGTTCTTGACCAAAAAAAATGATGGTTTAATATGATTTAACCATTTTTTTCCATCTGGTTCATGAAGCCGAAGCAGGTGACCACCACGAACCAGTCGGAGGGGTTGATGTCGACCAACATGTAGGTCAACTCCAACAAGCTCACGCTCGGCATGCAGCTGAGGAAGTTCACGATCGGGAACTGTTCTGGTTGGTAAACTGGGAGGTGTGCTCCATCAAGAACTTGAAGATCCTCTTCGACGTGTCGTCGTTCTTCCTCTTGAGGTACTCCAGCACCCTCGGCCTGCTCTTGCGGATCAAGAGGAGGCGCATGAGGATCCTCAAGTCGACCATCTTCATGGTGGTCTTCTTGATCAGCTCCATCAACTCGTGGTGGTACGATCCGCAGCGCGTGTCGAGTCCATTAACAGCGAAGTTCTACGCATGGGCCCTTCCCTACGAAGACTGTACGCTGGAAGTTATATGAGTTTACAGAATTAGACGAGTTACAACATGTATATAAACCTTCTATAACATGTCTATAACCTGCTTGCAAGTATGTAAAGTGTCATAACATTTGATAAGTAATTTGTAAGTTTAGCTAGCCGGCTACGAGAAGTTGTAAATGTTTAGGTAAAATATATATGGGTAATGAACTTATCGTAAGTATCTTAACTGCATGTTTTCTTTTTATAACTATGTTAACAGACTTAACATAAGTATGTAGGAAAAGTTATCATAAGTTATCTGAAAGTTAACAAAAGTTATAAAAAGTTATAAAAAGTTATAAAAAGTTAGTATAAAGTTATATAAAGTTAAAAATATGTTTACAAGAGGGCAATGAAAATGTTTCTTTATTTTACATTTTTCGGCGCCACATAACTCTGAACATGGAGCCTGGATGATGAAAAAAAGGCATATTGCGTGTGCTGCCTCAGTTCTTTGGTTTGATCATTTTAGATTAAACCAAATATCATATACAAGTACTTCCTGCAAGGGATATGGTCTGCAAAGATACTTCCTGAAAAGGACAGAGTCTGAAGTGAAAGTTCCTGAAAGGGAAATAGTCTGGAATGACAGTTCCTGAGAAGGATCCGGTCTGAGAAGACAGTTCCTGAGAAGGATCCGGTCTGAGAAGACAGTTCCTGCAAAGGAAAGAGTCTGAAATGACAATTCCTGAGAAGGATCCGGTCTGAGAAGACAGTTTCTGAAAAGGATTAATTCTTCGATTTTCAACCTTTCCCCTATAAATGTCCCTAGATAGCTATAGTTCAGCTATAGTGCAGCTATAGTTCAGCTATAGTTCAGCTATAGTTCAGCTATAGTTCAGCTATAGTTCAGCTATAGTTCAGCTATAGTTCAGCTATAGTTCAGCTATAGTTCAGCTATAGTTCAGCTAGTTCAGCTATAGTTCAGCTATAGTTCAGCTATAGTTCAGCTATAGTTCAGCTATAGTTCAGCTATAGTTCAGCTATAGTTCAGCTATAGTTCAGCTATAGTTCAGCTATAGTTCAGCTATAGTTCAGCTATAGTTCAGCTATAGTTCAGCTATAGTTCAGCTATAGTTCAGCTATAGTTCAGCTATAGTTCAGCTATAGTTCAGCTATAGTTCAGCTATAGTTCAGCTATAGTTCAGCTATAGTTCAGCTATAGTTCAGCTATAGTTCAGCTATAGTTCAGTTATAGTTCAGCTATAGTTCAGCTATAGTTCAGCTATAGTTCAGCTAAAGCTAGCTATAGTTCAGATAAAACTAGCTATATTTCAGACAAAAATATCTATAGTTCAGAAAAGAATGGCTATAGTTCAGACATAAATAGCTATAGTTCAGATAAAAATGGCTATAGTTCAGATAAAAATGGCTATAGTTCAGACAAAAATAGCTATAGTTCAGACAAAACTAGCTATAGTTCAGAATAGAAGTCGCTATAGTTCAGACAAAACTAACTATAGTTCAGACAAAAATAGCTATAGTTCAGACAAAAATAGCTATAGTTCAGATAAAAATAGCTATAGTTCAGAAAAAAATGGCTATAGTTCAGACAAAAAAATCTATAGTTCAGAAAAAAATGGCTATAGTTCAGACAAAACTAGCTATAGTTCAGAATAAAAGTCGCTATAGTTCAGACAAAACTAGCTATAGTTCAGACAAAAATAGCTATAGTTCAGACAAAAATAGCTATAGTTCAGATAAAAATGGCTATAGTTCAGATAAAAATGGCTATAGTTCCCGAAAGGGAACGTTTTAACAAAATAACGGATCCCGAACGGGAACAGTTGCAACTAAACTTGTTTCCAGATCCAAAAATACAGACAGAGATATCACTAAAAAAAACATATCGCCTCAGGTGTCATGATTCCTGAAACATACATAACTGAAACGCTTTCACATCACTTCGTCGATTCAAAAAAAGGATATCATATCTGAAAGTTCTTTCAGAAACAAGACAGTTATAAAATCCACGTGGTCGGAAACCAAGGCAAAGACTTTCAAAAGTATAAAAATATAAAAAAAAGTTACAAAAAGTTATGAAAAGTTATAAAAAGTTAGCAGAAGTTATAAAAAGTTAGCAGAAGTTATAAAAAGTTAAGACAAAACTTACAAATAAGTTATTAAAGTTAACATAACTTCCTTTTATCTTTTTGATAAGTCATGTTAACTTCCAACATAAATCCTTTAACTTCTGTATATCTAGGCTAAGTCTGTAAAGTCTTATAACTTTAAGCGTACAGTCTTCGTACCCCTCGCAGAAATTTCCTCGGTAGAACTTTCAACTGCCATTGATAAGCTGCGTAAGGGCAAAGCGCCCGGCCATGATGATCTTACCGCAGCTATGATAAAGGCTCTTGACGCGTATGGGGAACTCAAGCTTTTGAATTTACTTAATTGTCTGAGTAAGCGACGGGTTCCAAAAGAATGGAAGATGGCTGTTGTCGTTTCTTTCTATAAGGGTAAAGGTAATGAGCAAGATCCTGCCTCCTACCGCCCCATTTCCCTGCTACCCGTCTTGTACAAATTATACGCTACCATTCTCCAACATAGATTAGCAAGCGAACTAGACTCATATATTCGTCCTACCCAATATGGATTCCGTTCTGCACACGGTACACGTCACGCACTATTCCTGGTCAGACGGATTCAAGACTGGTCGAGGGCACTGAGTAAACCCATGCACATGCTATTCTTAGATTGGAAACAAGCCTTTGACAATTTGACACACTTGACCACTCCGCCCTTATTAAAGGTCTTCAGAGATGGAACATTCACCCGGGTTATATAGAAATCATCCAGGATTTTTACACGTCCCCCGAATTCTCCATCATGGGTATGAACGGCCAAGTAGCTACTGGCGCGGTCTCGTCAGGCATACGCCAAGGTTGCCCTCTTAGTCCATATCTGTTTATTTTGATTCTTTCTCTTATTTTGGAAGACACTGAGTTAAGACTCATTCAGCAGGGTACCCCAAACAACACCTGGTCCATCGGTAAACCAGTCTTCGATGTTGAATACGCAGATGATACGCTTATCTTCGGTATTTCCACCCCACAACTTGAAAGTATGCTACAAGCTTTAGAACAAGAAGCTAGTAAGTACGGCATGTCCCTTAATTTTGCTAAGAGCGAACTTCTTGTAAGCGACCCCCAATCTGATGCAGCCATGAACTTCGCCCACGGTCAACCTGTCCCAATCACAACCAGTGTGAAATATTTAGGCTCGGTCGTTACATGGGATCACCCTACAGAAACAGCTATAGCCGCACGTTTTTCAATAGCTCGGACAGCGCTCCAATCCATTAGACTAGTTTGGAACAGCCGGCTCCCACAAACAACGAAGCTTTGTATTTTCCACTCAGTAGTTGTGTCTTCTTTGACCTATGGGTTGAACTGTCTGACGCTTGCGCACAAACATTTTAAATTAATCGACGGCTATTACTTTCGACTCCTTCGTAGGGTTTTAGGAATACCAGCTTCCTATATTTCAAGAGTTTCTAACTTTACGGTTTGGCAGAGGGCAGGTAAACCAACCACAGCGTCTCAAATAGTCCTTAAACAACAAACGGAAATTTTACTTGAAGTGTTGGCCACTCCGCCGGACGATCCATATCATCACGTCATTTTTAGCTCAGCCTACAGGGATCGTATTGCTGCAACACAAAAGACAACAAGAGGCCGCCCTTCACAACATTGGCTACACAACATGCTTAGTTTTCTTCAAGAACCCACCAACCTCTACTTTTCTCATCACCCTTCCATTCAAAACCCTATGAGACTCAAACAGTTGCTTCAAAACACACCAAATTTCAAAGGCTTCCTGGTGATGGCGCCAACGCGCGCTTCTAATTTTCCTGTTGCTTTGGTCATTTACGCGCAAGGCAGGAGTAAAAAAAAATAACATTTTTTTCACCTGTTAGAGTAGATGGGTTTAGCCTGAAAGTATGATATTCAACTCACTATAAACATTTATAAACTATAAGCATGGTGATTCAGCATCAGATTTCACCGCCGTAACCGATGACTTGCGTTTATCATCTTCAACGAGCAGCTGTTTCTGGCTCTCATCAATAACTGGTTGGTGGTTTTTCTCCACCCCTCTGAAAAATCTTGGACTTCGTCAGTTGGGATGATGACATTCCCAATAGTCTGGAAAGTCATAATCCATTCCATGGTTCCAGTCAGCACCGACCAGATAAAATCATGGGACCATTAAGGGTCATAAATGGCTACGAACGATTATTAACGGTAAACAGATCATGGGACACGTACCGCACCTACAAAATATGGCCCTGAAATAATTGATTTAAACTGACGCGTGACAAAGAC